TCCACACCAGCCGAAGGGCGCTCGAGAAGGTCGAGCTCAAGTGGATCGACACCTCGTCCAAGTTCGGACACGGTGCCTACCAGACCCCAGCGGAGAAGAGGCAGTACGAGGGTGTGATGAAGAAGGACCTCCAGACCTCCTCGTAAGAGGTTGGTGGTGGTGGCAACGGAGTTCAAACTTTCTGCAAAGGTTCTTAGGCGAACGGAATAGATTTGCCTGGGCACCGGTTATGACGAGCACCTGAACAAAATTCAACGATACCAAGTTCAAAAAACATGTTCCACTTCGCTTGTGATGTACATATAGGAAGACAGTTGGTGCTCCTTCGGTGGTTTGTCACTACTCGTCAGATCAATATCTGCAATTCCATGTGTTTACTTCTTGCAAGAACCCCTTGCTACCAGTCCATTGTGGTTTTTTCCTTATTGTGCATCAGGAATGCAAGTCATCTCAGTGCATGTCATGAAAGAGTATAATGGCTGAGACACATCCAAGAAAGATGACAGCTTTCTGATCAATTGGAAGTGTCCCGAATACTGTACTGGATTTGATCTATAGAGTCAACGACGACTGTGTATATGTATTGTGAACATCAACTGTACCAGATGAATTCATCGACATCAACTCTTTCGAAGAACCTTCCTTTATCTCCAACTTCTGACGATCGATAATTAGTAACCCACTCATAGTTGCGTAGGACGTTGAACAGATGTCGCTCCGGAAATACGCATATTTATTGCAGTACATCAGCAGAACTGCATGCGCATCAGAAGAACGTGTGGACCATGGATAGTAGTCAGGTGAAGCACGGAAGCGCGCTCAATTCCACTCGCAGCTGGTATAGAAGGTAGATTGCTCTTCATTACCTGGCAACCGATCCGGATTTTTAACTTGTAGGTAAACAGAGTACCAAGAGGAGCTCGGGAGCGTGAAAAATTTAGTACAGGTAACTGCGAATGAAATCGACCAGGGTGCCACAAGTATTAGCTCATCCTATAATCTGAAGCCATACGCATGGCCTTGCTGTTGTAATTGAAGCCTAGCGATACTGTGGAGATCTCCAAGCTTGTGGACGACGTTTTCACTTTCCATCGTAGATAAAAATATGTAACAAGAAGAACGGGAATGTTTTGGAAGAAACACTGGGAAAAAGCAAACCAACATGCATTTTGGACGACGGGAACGACTTGTTTATGTGTACATGGTGCAGTCGAATCTCGCACAGAGTAGGTGCTTCGGAGAAATGCGCGGCGTTTCTTGACTGGTAGACATGTTGGTTTGCCATGTGATGGACAGGGTTGAGTCTATGACGATTACGAGGTCTTTGAGCATCTCTGCTGCACCAGGCCCGGCCCAATTACCACAACGTTCTTTCTGAATGAGTCAACATGCAAGCCTAGCCTTTGCGAACATCACAGGACGAACAGGACTGTAACTTCCAAAGTTTGAGATTATTACAGTCTTGGTGTCACGACAGTTGGGTCCTGGATGGAGGAGACTTGTTGTGTGGGGTGCATGGTCGATAGCAAGACAAGTTCACCACAAGCGCGCACATGAAGAAGCGGCATCAGCGCATCCTGGCAACGACAATGGATACATAATGAATCACGTTGGAGAAGAAAATCCGGAGCCGAAAGTACGTTCCGACTGAATTTCGTGGCGAACCGAGGCCTGCACCTGTCCAATTAGCGTGACGCCATTCCCTGTATGTAACGGCCGCTCGCAGCCTCCATTTCCTGACGTGCATCAATTGCATACATACCTAAGCCCACCACTTCGACTGCCTCTCCACTCTTTGGCTATCGCGACCATGAGTTGCCTCAGGATGCGTCGAACCCAGTTCGCTAGCCAGGTGAGTTCTGCACCGTGTTTACGGCGCATGCCGCCCGCACAATCTTCCACTTGTCCGACGGCCGCCGCACAGAGGCGTGTGCCATGCCGCGGGACGCTCGAATGCAGGAGCCCCGACTCTGAGTTGCGCCTCAACTGTCTTCTGGAGACATTTGGGCTTTGCAGAATGCGCCACAACTGCATGCAGGCCAATTGCTAACTCATGACACAGCTCACAAAGAGCATTCGCACACCATCACGAGCTTTTTCATCGACACGGCCTGCGGCACGCATATTCGGCACCGGCAATTTGAGGGCGAAGGAGGCATCCGGCTTCATTTCTCAGAAGTACCCCGTCATCGACCACGAGTATGACGCTATCGTTGTCGGCGCCGGAGGAGCGGGTCTGCGAGCGGCCTTTGGTCTCGCTGAAGCTGGCTTCAACACGGCGTGTATCTCGAAGCTCTTCCCCACCCGGTCGCATACCGTGGCCGCACAGGGAGGCATCAATGCCGCGCTCGGAAAGTACGTAGAGTGGCAAGAGGCTGGATGAGGAGCACAGGCTGACCAAGTTTTCAGCATGCACGAGGACGACTGGCGGTGGCATATGTACGACACCGTCAAGGGCTCAGATTGGCTAGGTGACCAGGACGCTATCCACTACATGACCCGAGAGGCGCCCCAGTCTGTCATTGAGCTCGAGAACTACGGCTGCCCGTTTTCGAGAACAGACGACGGCAAGATGTATGTCCGCGCCTTGGTTATGCCCCATTCGCGTGCTAACTTGACGTAGCTACCAGCGTGCATTCGGCGGACAGTCCCAAAAGTATGGAAAAGGTGGTCAGGCATACCGGTGCTGCGCTGCTGCTGACCGAACTGGCCACGCTCTCCTCCACACACTGTACGGCCAGTCTCTACGACACAACACCAAGTACTTTATCGAGTTCTTCGCTACCGATCTGATCATGGAAGATGGTGTTTGCAAGGGTGTTATCGCATACAACCAGGAAGACGGCACAATCCACAGGTTCATCGCAAAGAACACGGTTCTAGCTACTGGAGGCTACGGACGTGCTTACTTCTCCTGCACATCTGCCCACACCTGTACTGGTGACGGCATGGCCATGGTTGCTCGTGCCGGACTCCCCAACCAGGATCTCGAATTCGTCCAGTTCCATCCTACCGGTATCTACGGCGCTGGTTGCTTGATTACTGAAGGCTCCCGCGGAGAGGGTGGTTATCTTCTCAATTCTGAGGGCGAGCGGTTCATGGAGCGATATGCACCAACTGCCAAGGATCTTGCCTCCCGCGATGTCGTCTCCCGATCTATGACCCTTGAGATCCGCGAGGGCCGTGGTGTTGGACCTGAGAAGGACCACATTTACCTCCAGTTGAGCCACTTGCCACCTGAGGTTCTCCACGAGCGTCTGCCTGGTATCTCTGAGACTGCTGCGATTTTCGCCGGTGTTGATGTCACCAAGCAGCCTATTCCCGTTCTGCCCACTGTCCATTACAACATGGGCGGTATTCCAACCAAGTACACTGGTGAGGTCATCACCCAGGATGCTAAGGGCAATGACCAGGTTGTCCCAGGTCTTTTCGCCTGCGGTGAGGCCGCATCTGTCTCCGTCCACGGTGCCAACCGTCTTGGTGCCAACTCTCTCCTCGATCTTATCGTCTTTGGTCGTGCTGTTTCCCACACCATTCGTGACAACTTCAGCCCAGGCCAGAAGGCTGATGCCGTTGCTGCGGACGCCGGAGCCGACTCAATCGCCGTTCTCGACAAGATCCGCACATCTGAGGGCTCCAAGTCCACCGCCGAAGTCCGCCTCGCGATGCAAAAGGTCATGCAGACTGATGTCGCTGTCTTCCGTACTCAGGAATCGCTCGACGAGGGTGTCAAGAAGATCAACGAGGTCGACTCTCAGTTCGCCGATGTTGGCATCAAGGACCGCAGCATGATCTGGAACTCTGACCTTGTTGAGACTCTTGAGCTCCGTAACTTGCTTACTTGCGCTGTGCAGACGGCCGAATCAGCCGCCAACCGCCAGGAGTCAAGAGGAGCACACGCTCGTGAGGACTTCCCCGACCGTGACGATGAGAAGTGGATGAAGCACACTTTGTCGTGGCAGAAGCAGCCACATGGCAAGACTGAGTTGGGATACAGGAAGGTCGTGGGTACTACCCTGGATGAGAACGAGTGCAAGGCTGTACCGCCGTTCAAGCGTACATACTAGAGAAGGAACGTTGCAGAAGAACAAGGAGAATAAGCAATTAGAAAGGATATTAGTCCTGCATTGTATGTATATTGCATAGTTGATTGATTGAAGTGAAGCAATACTTTTTTTTTGGAAACAATTTGCATCGACTACTTAGACTTCCAACTGCCTCTTGGCGTTGGCAGCGGCACGCCTTCTTTGTTGGCTCTCGTTCTTCTTTGCCTTGGCTGCATCACTATTCCTGTAGGCTTTATCCGTGCTCTTGCCCTTCGCAGACGCTATGTATGTATTTGGCCCGTGCGATTGCTTGCTGGCCACTCGCCGTATACCGCTTGCTATAACTCAATCGGCTTTCACGGAACTCTTCATCTTCAGTTTGTCCTTGCGTTTATCCAATGAAGCTTGACCCTTCTCCGGGTTCCTATACTTCTTCGTAGCCAGTTCCGCGCGCTCTTTCCAGGCGAGACGAAGCTCGTCGAGGTTCGGAAGGTCATCTTCCAAGCCCGCAAAAGTGATTTCCATGAGGGAAGAATGCGAGCACAGACCCAACCATGGTACCTCCTCCCAGAATCGAAGCGGAGTGAGAGATATGAGAGTTGGTTTGGAATATGCCCAGAATCCTGTAGCGAAGGTTGCCTCAAGCGCTTTGACGAGTGCAACCACGCATATCATGTCTTCTCCCTCGAAGGAAATGTCGACAGCTGCAAGATTCGTGTGACTCGTTCGCTCGAAACCCCTTTGGAGAAGGTCCTTAATTGAGTCTGGTATGTTGCTACGTTCGTATTCGTATTCCATGACCCTCTCCTGTGAGCCCCTCGCATTTGTTGTCTTGCCGCAATAGATAGCCCAGAGTGGACCTTTACGATAGTATTGCAGGTAAACGATCCACTTCAACGTGAGATCGTCGAGAGAGAGCGGGACAGAGCACACTCTCAATTGCTGCACTGAAGGCGCATCTGGTGATCGGATCATGTCGGCAAGCCCGGGTGCAAAGGTCAGGCTCGATTCCTCAATGAGGTGTTGTATGGGAGCTTCCGAGGAGAAGAAGGTGCGTGATTCGAACGTTGCAGATCTGTCCGTCCGAAGCTGCACATCGCAAAGCATCGCAAAGAACGCGGCGTCAGACATAATGAAAGAGATGATTCAGGCGTGACACGGAAAGCAAAAGCTGAGAATGCGGAAAAGACATCATTTGTTGCTGGGTGTGCGTGGAAGGCGGGGAGAGTAGCACATCGCACCTGCCGTCTCCCACAGCTCTCTACGTAAACATGGAAAGAAGCACCCAGTCAACCCCGCACCACCACCTCTTAGTTGTACTGAGCGTACACAGCAGTGCTGTTGAACTTCATGTTGGCCTTGATCACCTTGTCCACAGCGGCGAGAAAGTCCTTTTCGGTAGCCACCTTGCGGCGATTCCGGATCGCGAACATGCCTGCCTCTGTGGCTACACTCCTCAGCTCGGCACCAGTGCTGTTGGGGCAAAGACGCGAAATGAGCTCCCAGCGAATGTCGCGCTCTACGCTCATGCTCTTGGCGTGAATGCGGAGAATGTTGGCGCGACCCTCCATATCGGGTAGGGAGAACTCGATCTTTCTGTCGATACGACCGGGACGCATGAGAGCGGGGTCGAGTGTTGAAGGTCTGTTGGTAGCGAACATGACCTTGATGTTTCCACGCGCGTCAAAGCCGTCAAGTTGTGTGATAAGCTCCAACATAGTCCGCTGAACCTCGTTGTCTCCTCCCGCACCGTCGTCAAAACGGGCTCCACCCACAGCATCGATTTCGTCAAAGAAGATGATACAGGCCTTCTTTGTCCGTGCCATCTCGAACAACTCGCGGACCATCCTTGCTCCCTCACCAACGTACTTTTGGACAAGCTCGGAACCGATGACACGAATGAAGGTGGCGTCTGTTCGATTGGCAACAGCTCGGGCGCAGAGCGTTTTTCCAGTTCCCGGGGGCCCGTAGAGCAGTGCGCCCTTTGGCGGGTCGATACCCAGGTTGACGAAGCGCTCTGGCGACAGGAGGGGCATCTCGACGACTTCTCGCAGCTTCTCAATCTGCTCTTTACAGCCTCCAACATCTCCATAGGTGACGTCGGGCTTGTCTTCGACCGTCATCATTGTGACCGAGGGATCGATCTTGGGCGGCAAGGGAAGCAGAATCTGGTACTTGTTCCGGTCGACACCGACGCGCATGCCCTCCTCGATGTCTGTGGGTGAGACGCGGTCTCCGAGGTTGACGACGAACTTGGCGATCTGCTTGACGTTGATGACATATTTGCTCTTCTCCGAGTCCTTGTCGTCCTGTATTATCTTGGTGCAGCGGGCGACTTGGAGGGGCTGTTCTTCTTGCATGCGTTGGCGGTCGGCGGCGATGTCCCAGAGATGTGGTGGTGCGAGACCGGTGTCTGATTCCTACTGGTGGTCAGCCGTTGCTGCACGGGCACAGGCACGGGTGCTGGGAATAGCTACCTTTACGCCAATCTTCTCGTTGATGGTCGACTGCTTGTCTTTGATCTCCTTCTCGAGCTTCCTGAGCTCCGCGCCGTAGGGTGCTGCGCCATATGTCTTCAGCACTTGGATGTCCCTGGTCCCGTGTTAGCATGCGCCTCGACCGCCAGCGCCACGTGATCCTACTCATCGGTGAGAGGTGTGATCTTCTTCTCCTCAACCTCGTCGTCGGCGAAGTTCTTCTGGTACTTCTCCCAGCTCTGGCCCGTGGCGGAGGGCATTGTGAGGGCGCGGCGGCGGCGTAGACCGGGGACGGGAGGGCTGTATGGTGTGCGGAGTATGGGGGGGTTGGAGCTACGGTCCCGCGGGAAGAGTCTGCACAGGTGTTGATGGCGACGGCGGGTGAAGGCGTGCGGGCGGAGGGGGATGCTTGTAATGATGCAGGTGCAGGTGGAGATGCACTCGCACGGCGAGTCGGAGCTAGGGTCGGCCTTGGCGGTACAGCGCGCGGAAATTCCAAAGTTCGCGCGTCCCAAAAGTTCGACAACCCCACCAAACACCCCACGATACCCTCTGCCTGTCTTTGTTTTCCCCGTAGAACCCACCATGGCAGCTCAAGTTGCAAACGGAGGAAGCGGAAATGCTGCGTTCAAGGTACGGAGCCGCGTCGGAGAGCTTGGGGCTAGGTAGCTAACCCAGGCCGCAGGACAAGGAGAAGCCCAGAGCTGTTCGCAGTGCCAACATCATTGCTGCAAGAGGTACGGCGCTCGCCGACATGCATACTAGAGCTTCACGCTGACGAAATCCCACAGCCGTGTCCGATGCGATCCGAACTGTATGTTCCGCTGAGTTGGTACGGGCGGTGGACACCAACTAACACACTGGCAGTCGTTGGGACCCAAAGGCATGGACAAGATGGTACGAATGAGCCAGTGACCATGATGGTGTCAATGCTGACCTCATCCAGATCCAAACCGGCAAAGGCGAGACCATGATCACAAACGACGGCGCGACCATGTTGAACCAGATGAGCGTCATGCACCCGTCGGCCAAGATGCTCGTCGACCTCGCGCACGCCCAGGACATTGAAGCTGGAGACGGCACAACATCCGTTGTCGTCATTGCAGGCAGTCTGCTGGGCGCAGCGGAGCGGTTACTGGGCAAGGGCATCCACCCCACCGTCATCTCAGAAGCTTTCCAGCGCGCAGCACAGGAGGCGATAAAGATCCTCGAGGGCATGTCGATCCCCATCAACCTCGCAGACAGGCAGGTCCTCCTCAAGACCGCCGTCACCGCCCTTTCCTCGAAAATCGTCGCACAAGAGCCCAAGCTGCCCATCATGGCCGTAGACTCGGTACTCAAGGTCATCGACCCCAAGACTGCCGATAACGTCGACCTCAAGAACATCAGGATGATCAAGAAGGCCGGCGGAACCATTGAAGACAGCGAGATGATTGACGGACTCGTGCTCAACCAGCCAGTAGTCAAGAGTGCAGGAGGACCCACAATCAAAGAAAAGGCACGGATAGGCTTGATCCAGTTCCAGCTCAGCCCGCCGAAACCAGACATGGAGAACCAGATTGTCGTCAACGACTACAGGCAAATGGACAAGATTCTCAAGGAGGAGCGCACATATCTGCTGAACATGGTCAAGAAGATCCAGAAGGCCAAGTGCAACGTCCTCTTCATTCAAAAATCCATCTTGCGAGACGCCGTAAACGACCTCAGTCTGCATTTCCTGTCAAAACTCAAGATTCTTGTCATCAAGGACATTGAGCGCGACGAGATCGAGTTCATTTGCAAGAGCACCGGCTGCAAGCCAATCGCCGACATCGACTCTTTCACCGAGGACAAGCTTGGCTCAGCGGATCTTGTCGAGGAGGTGCAGGCATCTGGCGCACGCTACGTCAAGATCTCCGGCGTCAAGTCTGCTGTCAACACCGTCTCCATCGTCTGCCGTGGTGCCAACAACCTCATTTTGGACGAGACCGAGCGCTCTCTGCATGACGCACACTGCGCCATCCGCTCACTAGTCAAGAAGAAGGCTCTGCTTGCAGGTGGCGGTGCCCCAGAGATTGAAATCGCACATCAGCTCTCCCTTCGCGCACGGGAACTTTCAGGAACAGAAAGCATCTGCTGGAAGGCTTTCGCAGACGCCATGGAAGTCATCCCCACCACACTTGCCGAGAACGCGGGTCTCAACAGTATCAAGGTCGTCACCGAGCTCAGGCACAGGCACGCACAGGACCAGCGAAATGCGGGTATCAGCATCAAGAGTGGGGGCGTCAAGAATGACATTGCAGAGGAGAACGTTCTGCAGCCCTTGTTAGTCAGCACCAGCGCCATTGAGCTGGCTGCTGAGACGGTCAAGATGATCCTGCGAATTGACGACATTGCCTTGTCGAGGTAAAAGGAAATGGCGTGATAAGTAGGACGGGACACACACATGATCGTCGTTCGCAAAGATAAAATACCACGAATAATGAAGAGCTATTGAAGCGCAACCATTTTGCTGTAGATCATTTCCCTGCCTCAGGTGTCGTCGCTGCAGCTCTGCCACTAAAGCATGTATAGCCAAATATGATCATGGTCGCCTGCGCAGACATGTGCCACTAAGGCAAGCAACCTTGACCAAGCTGCGAACATCAGCTCGCACCATGGACCTGCGTGGTAGTGTGAAGGACATGATGCTTGTGCATGCAACGCATAAATTCTGCTGTAGACCCTGGTTATATTGGCACATGAACCTGCCGAAGCGAACGTCCTCGCCTACGGAAAATAAAATGTTTTCTCAAATCAATGAGAATTCACTGAGACAGTTACTTGTCTTGGTGGGTTTGGGTGATGATGTGGATTTGCCGGGTGGATCCGGGGCGAGCCATTTTGGTGGGTCTCAGGTTGATTGCTTACAGTCAGCAGTCAGTGGTAAATGTGGAGGCGGAACGAACTTGTGGAGAATATCTGACTGCCGATGAATTAGAGGTGCGCTGAACCTGGACATGTACATTATTTGGTCGGCATGTCAATCCTCTTTGCCGTCTGTTATGTTCACTACTGCATCGAGGTTGTGTCTGTTTGTCAAAAGATGCGATAGAATAGTCGCAGGTTGACTGCCATCAAAACGAGCTTAACCTCTTCATTCACTCTGTATATGTCGTGAGATGTTCAAGGTTGCCTTGAGGAAGAGCTTTGTAGAGCCTGTCAAGCTTCGAATAGGAAGTACTGTTCCTTCGACGGTAATTTTCAGACCGACAAGCTGTGCCACTCTTCTATTCCGCCGACCTGCAGTCGTTTCGGTAGTGTTGCCTGTTCAAGTGCGCCACCTCCTGGTTTGGCGATGGACATGTATGCTGGGATCGTATGATACTTTTCATCATGGTTTCGAAGTGCACCTCGTGGCACTTGTAGTGACATGCTCGTAGCGAGGGCTCAACACATCTGTTTGCCTCATCAATATCTCGGGTTCTATAGTGACCTGTGGCACCATTGACAATGTCTAACCCCACTGTTCATGTTACAAGCTACTTCACTTCACCGGTTGGTGGGTACCTACCAGAAATGCGGGTGATGACGGCATCGTGAACCAGATCACCACTTCGCCTTGTGAGACAGCGAACCCCCAGCCTCGTACGGTCGTGCCCACTTTGTAGCCCAAAAGACTCCACACAGGGGCCATCGCCTTCGTTGTTCACTACTACTGTAGCGTGCGCTAGGCTCCACTAACACTGACGGATCGGATAAATGGTACACTATGTTTCAGACATCACTAAGGTTGTCTTCACCTCCGCGCATGCAAGTGACCGAGATCGACACAGCCTGTTGTGATGACCTCTTCAATTGACTACCGTACCCATCTGACCGGTATCGTCCTGTCGAGTCGTGCGAACCTGCTGGACGAGTCAAGCGGGCTGTTCACCAAGGTTCCAGTTCTCTGTTAGCTGCATCATCGGAAATAGCCGAGTCTAGTGCGTTACCAAGCCAATCTCATCCACCTATCTATTGATTGGGTTGCCGTATCTGATTTGGTCAAATGGAAGATGGAGATGGAGTCTTTTGTCTGTGCCAGTTGCTCATGGCGTGATATTGGGCAAGAAAAGTACCCAAACCGTTGTCATTCCACCGCATTTGCATGCCGTTTATTTATATGGTACTGCGTGCTGATGCGAAGCTGTGGCAACGAGGTCGTCATGCTTGTCCTTCCTGCTCTGGAAAATTGGCATCTGACTCGCTTCAAACGGGCGCTGTGACAGGTACTGAAGTTGACTACTATTCGTTGGGTGGGTAATACAACCAGCTCGAAGCAGAGTGGGGTACCTACAGGAAAACAGGCAGAGTGGTCCCCGGCAATACTGCGAACGGTATATCGCCCGAAGGATGGGTGGCGCATGGAAGCAACAGTGTCCGTGGCGTAGTTGTGGATATGGCTGTTTCAAGAAACACCTCTTGCTAGGCCATGTGACATGAGCTCTTATCGGGAAGGCACTCGCAATGTAGGGAACGTGTAATTTGTAGACGGTTATGCTAGTCCTGGTCAATAGCTGAGCCAGATATAACTCGAGCAAGCGAAAAATAGGAAACCTCAAAGTTGTGGGACCGGGAATCATATCCAGCCTGCCCGAATTGCGGCTATCTCGCTTGACGGTCATGCCTATCCCGTTGAATGTCCTGGCGCATTTTCTTCGTTGCGACAGGGAAGCCCTGACTGAATTGCTGCCTGCCGTGCGCCTCAAGCGCCTCAGTGTTGAGACGATTCATGAGTGCTGCATGTTACCTCACCGAGGTAATCTTGAATTGAATCCATTACGGCTAGGTAGGAATCATAAGGTAGACTGCTTCCAATGGTTGGCGGTATTGAATCAGGGTAATTTCTGCGCTGTTGCTGACTCGAGCGCCCACAGCAGCAAGGGTAGGTGGGGCGAGATGTACTATTGATATCAAGTGGCTTTCAATGCGAGTTCAAATTCATCTGGAGATATGGAAATGATCGTCTGTCTTAACGTCTTGAGGTATGCCATTATGGGTATCAACTTTTCGTAATGTCGCTAAGCCACCAAAAACGTGGTTGAAATGAAGGAAAACGCCTCATTCATGCATCGTGATCGTACATACATTGCCAAGCCGTGACGGAGCCAAGGGTACAGAAATTAGGAAATGCTCGCTCAAATGCAGCAGCGTGGTCGCCGAAGTGTAAACAGAGAGAAGTAGTGTAGCAAAAAGTAAAGTGACGAAGCGCAAGGTTGTTAGTCGTGGGCTGCTGGGATCAGCACGCTAGCAATCCATCGTGTCGTCGGCCACACGACAAGAGTGCCACAAGAAAAGTCGACCACGTGGCGGTTTGAAGCAAAGAGTAAAGGCTGCATCGCTCAACGGCCTTTCAAGCTCGCTCGCTTGAGCATACGCGTAACAAGGTTACCGCGAGGCTTTGGCTTGACGTAAAATGCCCCTTTGGTACCAGTCACGTCGTCGGAGAAGACCAAGTCCTCCAAAGCCAAGGGGTCATCTCTGGGGACCTTTGGGCTTGTCGCTTGCCAGCCGTACAGTTGGTCCTCATCAGCTCGTAGATCAGGCCGGGTCAGGGTCATGCGGAGAGTCATCTCGCGGTTGAAGTGACCAGTGGATGTGTGCAAGGGAGAAAGGCCGGAAAGATCGTCATTGCAAAGCTTGGAATGCGAGATCTGGCGAGTGTGCACACGGAAGGACTGCCCGGTGCTCGACGGGGTGGTGGGTGATTCCACGTCGGGCACGGAGTCGTCGTCAGACTCGAGACCCTGGTTGTCGCGGGCAATGTCCTCGAAGAACGACAGCTTGCCCTCGCGCAGGAAGGTGTGCATGTCTCGACTAAACTTGCGAGAGTGGCTCGTGATGGGCGGCAGCTGGAAGTGAGGGGCGACGGAGTCTTCACCGGCTGTTGAAGGGAAGCCAAACTCTATGGCCTCGTCGAATTTTTGAGGAGAAGCGAGATAAGTGCGTAGCTTCTTTCTTGCTTCGGGGTCCGAATAGTGGGTGGCCTCGGGATCGAAAAGAGGGGGTGTTGGTGTTTGTAAAGACCTCCGCCCTGATAGTGACGAGGAATGTGCGCGCTGGTGAACGGAGGGCCTTGGTGCTGAGGTGAAGCCCACAGGATGGCCAACGAGGACAGCCGACGAAGACGAGTACTGCATGGACGTGGAGGTGAGAGACATGGTCCGTCTGACTGCAGACTGGGGGGTTGGCCGTTTGGACGAGGTTGGACTCATGATGTCGAGGTAGAAGAGGCTACTTTCCGCGTCTTCCTTCTCTTGCGCCGAGGGGCTAAAAAATGATCGGCTCGGGGTTACGGACCAGGATGCGATGGATTTGAGGGAGGGTGCTGGTGATAGTGCTGGTAAGGGTGCTGGTAAAGGTGCTGGTGAGGGCTGGCGGGGCGCGTCACAGGTGTGGTACGGGTCTCGCTGGAAGCCGAAGTGGAAGTCACTGAAGCGTTGTTGTGCACGCTCAAGGTGGTCGTCGTAATCAAAGGCCAGGAACGCCTGTTCGCACCGGCCAAGCAGCACGGCCTGCTCTTCCCGCGAATAGTGCACTTTGCGGAGCTTCTCAGGCAGCGAGAAGAAAAAATCGAGCTCCTGCTGCGAAACGGCGGGGCTGTGCGGCGGGTGGTCTGGCTTGGGATTGCGGCGGGTGCCTGGGGTCACAGAGGGGCACAGAGGTGTAGATGAATCCGCGCGCGACGAGACCGAGTGCTCTGAGCCATGCTGATCCGCACTCGCTTGCCGGATCTGGAGCTTTTCCAGGGACGAGAAGTACTTTCTCCTGCAGAAGCACGGGATATTAGCATAAAGTCCAACTGGAGCTGCTGCAAGGTACGATGATACTGGTGGGGTCCGCCAACGCCAACGCCAACGCACCACCCCTATCTCCCATCACAATCGCCGGCAAATCACATGGGCCGGACTGCACCTACTGGACTGAATCAGGCAGCGCGTCGAACTCGGCCTGCTGTAGTGGCGGAACACTCTTCTTCGGCTTTGCGCGTCTCCTCATGGCGATGGCTCCGTCTCCAATGGCAGTAAGCATGGTTTTTGCTGTGGTTGGCGGCGGACCAAGGACCTGGGTCGCGGGCCTGGGAGACCTTTTTGTCGCGAGCACGCTAGAGCCGTACTGGACGCTCGTGGTGAGCGTACGATGCGCTCGTGCTGCGTGGGAGATGCGGCGAGCACAGAGGGCTGTACAAGGAGAAGACGAAGAAAATGAAGAAGAAGAAGAAGAGGAAGAAGAGGAAGAAGAAGAAGAAGAGGCAAAGAAAGCAAGAGACTGGACTTCAAGCTATCTAACAGCGACGGCGGCAAGACTGCTGTAACAACAGAAATACTAGGTCTACTGCGCTGACAGCAAAAGACGACGCCGCTGGCTGCATGTCGGAAGGGCGACAGCTATGCGACTAACTAATGCAGCCTTCACTCGCGCCTGGGCCCCAAAAAAGCGAGCGTACGGAGTACCATCGACGGGTAGAGCTGCTGGGTTATCCCGGCACTATCAGACCGCATGCGTGACCTCATGAAGGCAGATACACCACGATTGACCATTTGATACCTTGGTAGTAACAGCAACAATGACAGCGCCAGCGGCAGACAAGCAATCCACGACAACCACTTCTTATTCCCACTCCCACTCCCACTCCCACTCCCACTCCCAGGCCGCCCATGACCCGGCACATGTTGGTTGGTCGCACAGACGCGTTGCTCCCCGCCTCTCCACTCTGCCGTGGTTTCAGCAATCTTGAGGAGCGTGGCCTTAGCGGCACTGGCCTGACACACCGCATCTATGTACGAAGCCACCCGGCCCGGACTGTCCAAGTGCAATCCAAGTCGAAGCCCGTCTCGGTAGCCTCCCGTCAATTTGCCTTCTTCTCGAAACACATTCACCGCTGTCTCGTGGAGTCGTCGTCTCCCAACACCAGGGTCACCATTTCAGCCGACGTCGCACAATTAATACTCTGCACAGGCTGGCCCATCTTTGTGCACCGTTGCGAGCAAGCGAGCATGCGCTGTGCAACGGCGAGCTGCTGACAAGTATGCACGCCTGTTACAGGTGGTCCATGTCGATACAGAATACTATCTTCTGATTGATGCGGTAGAAGCAAGGGTATCTCAAGAATACATCTAAAAATCGCGCCCATGCGCCGCCCTGCTGGCACCGATTAATCCAAGCACAAGATACGGTATTCCTCCGCTGCCCAAACATAGTCGCATTGGCCCAGTTGGGTTGACTCTGCCCGCATTGCCGTGACACAAGAACGAGTCAGAATAGCTGAACGCTGCGTGGAAGGAAGACTACATTGCTTCCGCGGCGAGATCAACGTCTGCAGTCATCTTACCCTCCAGCGATTTCGTAATAAAACTCTTCGTCCAGTCCCTCTCTACTAGGCAGTATCGGCTCCTCCAGCCCCACGTCCTCAAAGCGAACATTCAACAGGCGTATCTTCAGCCCATAGCCGCCAATAAACGTCACTAGCTTGTTCGTATCTGCTGTGATTGGTTGCTGATTGAGCAGCATAAGCAGTCCATCGAGCCACTCCGATGCAAGAGCATGGCTCTGGGGGTGCAGTTGTAGGAGTACGGATTCTTTCCGCCCAGCGCCTGAGCCGGCGGATGTCTGACGCGAGTGATTGGTCTGGGGTAAGTAGCCATGTATTGTGATCTTGGTCGAGGTAGAGGCGCGTTCATTGCCAGGCAGGGTTGTGACGGTGCTATCAGAAGACGACGTGGAAGGTGCCGATGCCGAGACATTACTCACGACCGAAGACACAATTGAAAGATCGACTGAGGTGCATGTCAGCTCCGCCGTGTACGTAGTCCACTCGGTATACCCGGACGTGTTACACTTACTTTTCTCTTGCAGGGAGTCTAGCCTGGGCTCCGCAGCTGTCTTCTCGTCAAAGTCAGCGTAGTGGAGATATCTTCGGTTGTGTGACAGTCGGACAAAGCGCCACGCTGAAGGGACCGAACGACTGAGCGTCTTGCTCGTCACTGGGCCGGCATTGGAACCATAATCGACACCGATGGGGAACCATGCACCTTGGAGCAAGCATCTAATACGTTGCTCCTTGACAAATTGCAGCGCCTCGTGGTTGAGCTCATCGCGCACTTGCCTGGTGGGGTCAGTGTCAGTGGAACGGGGAGGAGATTTGTGAGCGTACCGCAGGTGGTGGCCCCATGCATCCTCATACGTGAGCTCGAGTAACTCCATCTGCAGTTGTCTGAGGCGCTTCAGCTCGAACTCTGCCAATTCCTCCTCCACGGCCTTGATATCCTTGGTGCGCGGCGCTTGTCCGACGACCTGTTCTATCAGTATTCGGACCAGCTCCTCTATTTTGTCATAATCTTCTACTTGGGCGCCAGACACTTTCCACAGTCGTATGAATGCATTTAATCCGCTTGTGTGCAATCTTGACCAATGCAGCAGAAGAGGCTTGAACGCTCGGTCAAAGTTCGCGCGGGACTCAAGCGCCGTATATCTGTGCGACTCAACGTCATCCAACTTGTCCACCTCAAAATGCTCGTAGAGAATCAACGTCGCAGACAGACTCGCGCGCGCAATGGGACATCGCTGTTCTGTTGGCTCCGCGGACTGCTCCAATAACAGCTTCTGGAACCCATCCTCATTTTTGTAGACAAAGTCTGTGAGATCCATCAGACCCAGGAAACCAGTTGCATCAAACTCCCATGCGGGCGACTCGGTGTCGAAGCCTAAACGCCTCCACTTCTCTGGGTTCTGCTTCTTGCTCTCCTTGGTATCCGCACTCGGTGCATCCGTTATGCTTGCGGTGTGAAGGCCTCGAATAGCCCTCCGATGTTCCGTCTTGTCGAGATCGACCTTCTCCTCTCTCCAGTTCCGAAGCAAGATTTTAGTCAGTGACTGGAAGTCCAACAACGGATGGGCCAGGTCCTGTATTGCTGAGCTCTGCATGAGCATGTAGACGCTCTTGATTACGCCCAGCTCTTGCAGCTGTTTGATGAACTTGGGCCACTCAAAGTCTGCGTCGTTGGCGATGGCGTCGCGCATGAGGGCATTGATGAGCTGGAGCGAGTTGGCGCATAATGCATGGTCGGCCGAGGTGATCTTCTCGACCAGAGAGGGGAGGAACTGGGGCTGGGTGTCGACTGCCGGCTTCAGTCGCTGGAAGCCAGTGACACCCGGCTGGGAGTTGCGGTGGGAGGGATGGCCGACAATGGCAGCCAGGACCGACATGGCGCCGCGATTGACGTTAACGAGCGGCTGCGCAACTACGAGGTCGACAATCTGCGGGCCAGAGATTAGAGGTCCGTCTGCGGCCATGGACGTAGTCGAGCTGTGCACTCACTCTCACGATGAGGTCATCCGTGACATGGTCCCAGCCCTTGTCCAGCTCCAGCAGGCGCGACAAGGACGTCAGGCAGTATGCCAGCGTGTTGCCCGTGGCATGCAGCGCCAGGAAGCGCAGCTTGGGGAGGCCGCCCTCGTAGATGAAGACGTCGGCAAATGACGGGTCGCCAATGGCATTCTGCAGCTTGAAGACTGCCATTTTGCGCACCGACTCCTCCTCCGCACCCAGTCGGGCGACCAGCTCGGAGACATTCACCGTGTCCATGCTGCCGCCAATCTCGCAAAAAGTCAGGTGAGCCTGGGATGAGGGAGCTGGGATTGTGCGGGCATCACAAGCACCGAGAAGAGCACGCCATGGTATGCCGGTACTTTACAAGAAGCCAAGAATGTCTGTCGTCAATGGTCGGGGAGGGTTGGATCACAGAACCCTTTCGCAGTCGCGGTGGTCGGCGTCTGGACGCGTTAGCGCGGCACGTGGAGCGAACATTAAAGCGTCCACTGGTGTTGTCGAGGCTCCAGGCTAGGCAGGCACGAGCAAGGATGTCCGTCTTGCTGGGGAAACAACACCATCTTGCCCTTGCCCTTGCCGCGGTGCGCCATCCTCGCCCTTCGTTTATGCTTTTGTCTGTTTCATTGCGTGCCAAGCGTTGAGCGCTTGCCATAGCCGTCTACTGCCAGTGTGCACCGGGCCTCGACTTCTGCTCGACTTCTGCTCGACTTCTCCTCGACTTCGCCGCCGACGCCCTCCGCAACACAGTCCGGAGACCGCTCACCGGCTTCGCCTGGAGCTCACCGCCATGTACATCACCTCGGATCTTTTTGGGCGGAGCTCTTCGCACAACCACGGCGACCACGCGCCCTCGACGCTTTGGAACACCATGGCCGACCCGCCACACGCGGCCGGCTTGGGAAAGAGGAAGAGGCACGACGCAGCCGAAGAAGGACCCAGCACGTATGCAGACAGCTTGGTCGCCCAAAGGGCCACAGCAAACATGAAGCTAATTCTTGCTACAGATGCATGCACCACCAACGGGCGTCACCCGCTAGTCGTCGGTCCCATGCGCACAGCTCGTCGTTCGGCGACAGTAACCGAAGCCACCCGTACTCCAGCTACTCTGCATCATCCACATACACGGCCTCCGAACGACGGCCCGTAAAGCAGGCAAAGCGCCTCAGTCCCAAAGCAACACTCGTCAAGTCGGCATCCCACCTCATGGACATCGAGCCAGAGCGGCCAGCCATCTTGTCCAGGCCTGATGCACACCAACACCCCGTCACTGATCTGCGCCCATGCCACGCCTGCAAATCAGCACCGAGGCGGAAGAAGGATCTCGAGAACTATCTCGACTGCAGGCGCTGCGACGGTCGAACATGCTACATCTGTGCACGGCAGTGCTTTGGCGCGTGCGGGAAAGCTGTGTGCAACAAGTGCATAGTTGAGGTCGGGGAAGACGGGGATCCTTGGTGTCTGGACTGCTACTCACGCAACATCAACTCCTAGGAAGATGGCATAGGTTTGATTTCCTTGAAATTACCTTTAGCTGGGCATGGCGTTTGATATCATAGTACAACCTAATGTTGAATTGCATCGAACCCTAATCATCGTCTTGGTAACTTGTATCATGGGTGACATCCATCTAAGGGCGAATCTTTGCGCCGAAACATCATTCCCATTCGTGCCATAACAAATCGTAACTTTATTTACTCTTCGTCATCTGTATCTCGCTGCTCCTCCGCCTCTGCTACACCACCCTCTCCATTGCGAAAACCGGGATAGCTCCCGTCTTCCACCGCGCTGCTGCGCATACTGCTCTTCCTGGCGTTCTTACTAACGATACCTGGAAACATTCTCGGCTCACCATCCAATGCAACGCTGCTTCTTGTTCGAGTGAGCCCGAGGTCGCTTCCATCCCCTGGGCCTTGTAGCTGAGCATCATTGGCAGAGGCACCGGATGGTTGGGGGCCAGAGATGATACTTGGGTTCATAGTTACACTAGATGACCGACGTGGACGAGTAAAGACTTCGCCTTCTTTGGCGCTTGTTGGAGATGTAGGGCCATCTTTTGCAACGGCAGATTGATTCTGTCGGGCCAATTGGATAGGACCGAGAGGGCCGGAGATGATGCCTGGAGGCAGTGTAGAAAATTGTTGGGATTGGTCGGGCTGCGCATGAGTTGATGCGTTTGGAGATGCCGGGTGTGTGGCTTGGGCAGATTTAGGTGTTTGCGCTACGTCTGCAGCCGGTTGGAGGTTGGAGTGAGTGAGATCGTTCCTGTTCGATTGAGCAGCGCGGGTGTAGCGGTCGATCCTGCCGAAAGTTAGTGAATAGCGTAAAATATCCAACACAATGCATTAACTTACATAGCGAGCTCTTGCATGAGGGTCTCGTGCCGGAAAGCCTCCCGGATGCTGGGCACGTTAGATCTTGCCATATCATTTCCAGCTACGCCCGGCAGATGGTAGTTTGCACCGAGCCATTTCTGCTTGACGATATGTTCGAATCCACTCTGTTCGACAGAGTGCTTCGCAAGCTCACACATATCGACCGCGCTCAACTTGTAGATTTGTGCTGCAACCGAGTATTCTTCGATCAGTGGCTCTTTAGTGAAGGCGAACTGCAGAGGGTCATCAGTGGACAGTGAAACGTTCAGGCCCCGTCGGAAGTAACTCAAGAAGGGGTTGCGTTCGTATGCCAGGAAGAGGGCGTTGTTACTCAGAGGCGACATTGCAACACCGATCTGCTCGAGATAAAAGATGTACTGAAGTAGTGGTAACTTCCGAAGCGTCAGGCCATGACTAATGCTGTGTGAACAAAGAACCGCCGCAGCCATATGGTCAGTATCTCCAGCCTCCCCACAGTGTGGTCGCAGTAGAAAAGTATTGAAGCCACGCTGCTTTCGCCAGACATTGAGCGATGCGATATTGGCGAAAAGGTAATACATCCAGTAGCTGTAAGGGGGGTTCTGCTTGGTAGACCACTCCTTGGGAATTGGGAATTTCTTGTACACCCGTCTCTCAACCTTGCTCTCATCATCGACACTGTCGAATCCAATGACTCTTTGCAGAAATATGTGAAGCTTGGGATGACTGGCGGGATCTCTGGTAACTTCGAAAAGAGGTTGAAACACGTTTAGGATAACTTGCTGGAAATTGTCCATTAAGCCAGTTGCTTTGTACACATCGTATAGACGAGGTACTTGGATCAGCCATCGCACGTTCGGCGAAAAGAGCTTGTTATCGATGACCCACGCAGCAAGCTTATCCCATTCATCGATGTCTCGACCGTAGATGGAAATGCGCCACTCTCAACGAATTGGTACTTGCTTGACTCTAAGTCGGAGATGACCTCTTTCGTGATCTCGGCCAGGTAGCGGCCTTTGATGAAGTTGTCTGTCTTGAGGAAGATTGTGCGTAGACGTGATTCGCCAATAGGATTATACTTCAGGTTGAACTTGTCGAAACGGTGGAACGAGTCGGTGTGAGCCTAGTAATGTCAGCCATGGCTGTGCGAGCGAGGAGTCCACAACTTACGTGCATGTCGAGAGTGTCGATACTTAAATCATAGGCAGTCAAGTTGATCGACTCAAAAACTTCCTTCAAGGTCAAATGCTTGCCATCACGGAACAATACTACCTCATCCGGCGACTTCTTCATCTTTGACTTGATGAAACGTAGTAAATGCTTCTGATTCATACAGGCAGAGTGATGGACATGGGTATCAACTTTTCTGACGTTATAAAAGTCTCGATGTGGAACCTTCTTGCTGTCGGCTGTCTCCTGGTACTCGTTGAGAAGATAGTAGAGGTTGAACTTGCCCTCCAGATATTGAAGGCGCCGAAAAGCAAAGCTTTTACTGGGTTCCGTCCGACGAAATATCGAGAATGGCATCAAGATCAATGTAAAATTCTCTCAAGGTTGGAATCGCAACTATGGGCGTATCGAGCTCGACAGATTTAGCTGTCTCATAGACTTGAAAGACGCCAGCGTCGTCTAGTCGGAACGACCATTCCGACGGACCAGGGGGAGGTAGCACGTCGTCCAGATGGAAATCCTCCCCAATGTTGGTGCCCATCTTGCGAGGTGGCTTGGGCGGCTCGGCAGGTTCCAGCACGCCACTGTTTTGCATGCTACTCGAAGCATTACGACGCTCTTTTGAGGAGTCGTTCCACACGGGCTCCGGGTGAGGTGGGTAGATGCGCCAGCTTGGATCGTCTTTGGGATTATCAAAGTTGCGCTGCAGAGATAGACGGATGTACTTGTGGCGCAGATCAAGTACCTTCTGCACATTAGTGTATATAGCGCTAAGCTCAGCAGTGACGCTCGAGTCGTCCATGGCAAAGCCTCCTGCGCCTGAGCCGACGCCTACTCCAGCGCCGGCACCGTGGATTCCTTGTTCGGTGAGCATGGGCTTCTCTTCGTGTGGAAGTCGAGGGTGTTTTGTATGGGCCCTTGCTTGCTGGTCGGCCTGGAGAAGAGGCTCTTGATTGTCGTGGCTGTCCAGCAGATTTGCAGAAGATGTCATGTGCGAACGGGGTTCCTGTGACTGCTCTGTATGTGACAGGCCGATGGGAAGAACAGACCTGTGACCTTGATGCGCCAGACTGACATTGCTTCTCCGCGAGCGAACGCTTTCTGCTCCCCCCAAAGGATCGAAGCCATCCGTGGCACCAAAGTTGGCAGGGAACGTCTTCGCGCGCATGGCCGGGCTGTAGCCATCACCAGCCTGTGACCCGCCGTTCTGAGTCTCCCACTGGTGACGCTGGTAAAACTGCTTTGCCTCGGTGTGGCTCATCTGTTTCTCTGCTGTGTAGTCGTAGAAAGCTGTCCGGCGCTGTTTGTCGCGGGGCAGCATGCCATTGCCATCTTCTTCTACGCTTGTGCCCGTTGATGTCTGCACCGTTGCACCCGTGCCAGGGTCCACATGTGTGCGGCGAGAGCTGGCGGCCTCAGGCTCGGAAAACTCTGGGCTGAGCTCGTCTTCTTCAGAGGAAGGGATGTAATCATCGCGGGCGGGGCCCAGCTCGGGCGAGGCGTCTGCGTCCACAGAGAATGCTCCTGCGACACGGTCAGAATGCAATTGGTACATGGCGGGCAGATTCAGATGTACTACCTTTCAGCATGGTGTTGTGTTAGGCTAAGACGTCGTGGCTGTTGTGCCGCAAACTTCGCAGAAAGATACTTGAGCAACGCGCTTCGGAGCTCGCCGGCGCGTCACCTGGCCCCGTGCCATGGCTGCATGTGGGAGTCATTGCTGGAGCTCGGTCAAGGAGCAATGTGCAGCATGAGGAGATAGTTCAGACCACAGCTGCCAGATGCATGGACAGCTCAGACGCATGCTACTTCGAGGCTCGTCCCTCAGCTTGTGACTTTGGAGTAGCTGTTTCGGCAAGCTAGTCATGAGAGCACCATGTGTATTGCACATGACTCGCCAAATGTGCTGCAAACGTCACGTGCTGGCCGGGCTAGCGCCGCGCGCCCCAAATTTTTGGACTAGACGATCTCGCTATCTTATGGAAATTCGGTAGGCTCTTTTTCACACGACTAAGACTGCTTTCCACACCTCCATCATGTAAGTGCTCCGGTACATGGGCTACTGTGAAAGACATCGCTGATCTGGCAATTGAAGGTTTCTTCTACGCCGTGCCGCCGTTCGTGCCGTCAGCGCAACACCAGCCAAGGCTTTCCTTGCAAAGCCGCGCTCAATTGCCACCTTCACGCCCTCTACTCTTCGCACACACAAGCAGCAATGGTCAGCAGCCTTCCAGCGAAGGTTTGCTAGCGACGATGCGACCAAGAACAATGCGCCAGAGAACTTTGCACAGACTGCCGCAGAGCCGCCCATGGAAGATGGGCTGACGCCCGCGCAACAAGATGCACAGGCGGATCCTACTGATGCTAAAGCCACCATTACTCCTGATACTCTTGGCCAGGTCGAGGATGCCGCAAGGAACGCGGAGAGAAGGCCACGGAGGAGCCGTGAAAACAACACCCCACCGCACAACACCCTCTACATCGGCAACCTGTACTACGAGGTCACCACCGAGCAGTTGCAGAAGGTCTTCTCGCGCTTCGGCGAGGTCGCGAGCGTGAAGATTGTCTACGACAACAGGGGTATGAGCAGAGGGTAAGCTGGATGCGCACCATGTCTGGCGATGACACTCACACTTTGCAGGTTCGGTTATGTCGAGTTCAAGAGCATCGACGACGCTCAGACTGCCATCGACAACCTGGACATGCAGGTCTTCGAGGGCCGCAACCTCGTCGTTCAGTACCACCGCGCCAAAAGCGATAGCGACAGGCCGAAAAGAGAATTTCCACCAGCCAACCTTCCCTCCAAGACTCTTTTCATCGGCAACATGTCCTTTGAGATGTCAGACAAGGATCTGAACGATCTCTTCCGTGACATTCGCAATGTCAATGACGTCCGTGTGGCCATCGACAGGAGGACCGGCCAGCCCAGAGGTTTCGCACACGCCGACTTCTTGGACGTCGCCAGCGCCACCAAGGCCAAGGAGATTCTGAGTGCAAAGACGATCTATGGAAGGGAGCTCCGCGTCGACTTCAGCAGGTCTGCGAACGAGAACCCGCGGGGAAACACGCGCAGAGACTCTGGCACTCGGGAGGAGTAAGGGTTTGGTATGAGAGAAGCAAGGAGCGAGTGGAAGTCACTTGAGACGGACAAGATGGGTTTCGCCGAATGCTGTACGATATACGCCTTTCTCTGGTGACGTGTTGGGATTTGCATGTTTTATAGTAGAGCGTCCAGGCGTTATCATCTCCTCTTCGGCTGTACCGGTTATATCAGGCGTCCCGGGACGGATGAGACGGGGGAAAATGCTGTTGTGTTCAACTTATCCCATATGCGGTCTTTTGCGAGGTGACAAGATTGGATGAAAGCCTGATGCCAGCCGTGATACCTACCCACGTGTCAACGTGCCGTCAGTGGCCCCTGCCCCGGCAGCGGTTCAGCCTCTTGACCTTGGAAAGCAACCCGACCTCGGCTTGGAGGGGCATAGCTCCACTTCCCCAACATTGCTGATCAATAACTCGGAGCCGCCTTGACAGTGCACCAACATACACACACACGTTACGCTTTACCGGTTCTAAATATTGACTGTCCTGCTCCCTCCGCCGCTGTATTGCACTCGACCAGCAAACCAACTGGGCCACAGCGATTCGCCATGTCGTTCCTAGGCGGCGCAGAGTGCTCGACTGGGGCAAATCCGCTCAGTCAATTCACCAAGCATGTGCAAGACGACAAGAGCCTGCAGAGAGACCGCCTGGTCGGGCGAGGGCCAGGCGGCATGCACGAGAGTATGCGCAGCCAGCAGATGGGCGGTGGGTCCGACGGCGTGAGTGTGAAGGCGCTGCAAGTGTGAATTCATGGCGAAGAGCTAACCGACGATGCCAGATGATGAACGAGTTCATGCAGCAGAACGCACAGCTCCCGCAAGGCCCCGGCCCCGCGTCCCCCTTCGCCATGGAGCAGATGCGGCGAGAACTAGAGCGGGCACAGCACAGCGCATCGCCCGCGTGGGCGGCGGAATTCGACCCGGGCATGCAGGCACCGCAGATGGGACCGTCGATGCAGGAGCGGCCGGCAGGCTTCAACCCCGCCGAATTTGCAAAGTTCCAGCAGATGAGCCCCAATGCGCGGACAGCAAGCCCCGCGGCGGCCGAGCAGCCGTCGATGATGGGCTACCAGCGGCCCATGTACGGCATGAACTCGGGCATGGGAATGGGCATGGGCATGGGCATGGGCATGGGTGGCATGGGAATGGGCATGATGCCGCAAAACTACTCGCAGCAGCCCGCGCAGAGCTCGGCCAAGGGCAAGGAGCGCCTGGTCGAGCTCGACGACAAGGACTGGGAGGCGCATTTTGCCGAGCTCGAGCAGACGGACCAGAACCTCGATGCGCTGGACGCCGAGGCGAACAAGCACATTGAAGCGGAGCTGAACGAAATGGACAGGTCAGTAGATGAGTTTGGCGACTTCGAGTCCATCTGGAAGGGCATCCAAGCTGAGACTGAATACGCTAGGCAACTCGCCAACGAGGAGAGCTTTGTCGAGGGACACATGGGCGACTTGGATCAATGGGAAGGCTTCGACGGCCTCAACACACACTCGGTGCGCGACCCGGCCATGGGCGACTACCTGTTCGAGCAAGACAACCTGTTCAGCAACGTCACAAACCCCTTCGACGAGGGCGTCAAGATCATGGAGGAAGGCGGGAACCTGTCGCTGGCCGCCCTGGCGTTCGAGGCAGCCGTGCAAAAAGACCCAAACCACATCGCAGCCTGGACCCGACTGGGCGAGTCGCAGGCACAGAACGAGAAGGAGACGCCTGCAATCCGCGCCCTCGAGCACGCCCTGAAGCAAGACCCCTCGAACCTAGAAGCCCTCATGGGTCTCGCCGTGTCTTACACAAACGAAGGCTACGAGTCCACCGCCTACCGCACCCTTGAGCGCTGGCTTGCCACAAAGTACCCCTCCCTCATCCAGGAGCCTCTCTCGTCCGACGCGGAAATGGGCTTCACAGACCGGCACCTCCTCCACGAGAAAGTCACCAACCTCTTTATTCAAGCCGCACAGCTCTCTCCGTCGGGCGAACAGATGGACCCCGACGTCCAAGTCGGTCTTGGTGTCTTGTTTTATGGTGTAGAGGAATACGACAAGGCAGTCGACTGCTTCGGCGCCGCCCTCGCCTCCACCGAGTCTGGCGTCTCAAATTCTTCGTCGCAAGTTCACCTCCTCTGGAACCGACTCGGCGCTACACTCGCCAACTCCGGACGCAGCGAAGAAGCCATCGACGCATACTCGCGGGCCCTTGCACTACGGCCGAACTTCGTACGCGCGCGCTACAATCTTGGTGTTTCCTGTATCAACATCGGCTGCTTCACGGAAGCAGCGCAACATCTTCTCGGCGCGCTCGCCATGCATAAGGTCGTGGAGAAGGAGGGCAAAGAAAAGGCGAGAGAGGTCGTGGGCGATGGTGTAAGCGATTCGCAACTTGATAACATGATACACCAAAATCAGAGCACGAACCTGTACGACACATTAAGACGGGTGTTCGGACAAATGGGGCGAAGGGACCTGGCGGATATTGTGGGCCCCGGCATGGATGTTGAGCGCTTTCGAGGCGAGTTTGAGTTTTGAATCAGAATCTAGCATGAAAGACATGTGGCGATTTGAGCCTAAAATTAAGGTGTATACATGGGATGATGAAGAAGGCGAACTAGGAGATAGCTGTTGCTTTGGTACAAGGACAGTCGAGACAGTTGATTTTGGACTCGATTGTGTTTGGAAGCTGCACGGTGGTGTTTAGTGTAAATTGTGTATATATTACGACATTAAGAGACACGTATGAAGCCACTGCACTGAGTCACCTACATGTCTGGCGGGCTGACGGTCCTCTCTCTCATTCCTCTAGTCGTATCTTCCGCAATGCCCCATGTCTAAAAGGGCACGGTAGGTACCCTTTCGGATCCATTAGACCTCTGGTAGTACATGACCGCACCAGGTGCTTTTGCGCAGTTGGTGAGATATGTAGGCGCCGCGCTGGTGGGAATGACGTTGCCCTCCTGTGGGCGTCCGTAGACCTGTGACCATGTTGGCTTACTTCCTATCATAATGTTTTGCGGAAGGGGGGGGGGGCGGCAACTTACGTATTCATAGTACCAGATTTCGCTGAGGGCAGTGTATCCGTTATCCAGGCTCCCCTTGCCAGCAGCCGTGGTGTCTAAGCAAGAAGAAGCCACAGTTAGCGAGTATTATCAGGAAGGACATTGAAAACATGTGTCAGTGGGCGGTGATTCTCAGGCAACCTCGGTGTATGCTTGACTGTTCCAGGGAGAGACATCAGACTCACTGTACACAAGTTAGCAAAAGCATTAGAGTATCATCAGTGGCGATTGTTTACCTGTATCTTGGTCCATTACATCCAATGAACGGTACACCGCCGTGTTTTGCGAACAGCACGTCTCGAATAGCAGTATAGGAGTATCCAGTCGCATTGGAAGGCGTTATGCTGGCCTCCTCAAGCCATTTGAATGTCGGAAAGCGCTTGTAGTACTTGATCGTCGTCTCAAAGAAATCCACCACTTCCTCATGCTGACGGTACATGGGACCGTAGCACGGCACATTGAAGGTGGAGAAGCATGTAGCGTGTTTGCTAAACTCGTGGCCCCAGAAGCCCGGATTGTCTTGCTGGAAGGCGATCCAGTAATTATTCATGTAGTCGAGTAGGTCGTAGCGGCCAAATGGCTCAAGGAAAGTGCCAATATTGGAGCCGTTGTAAGGCGCGACAAAAGTACCATTGGGCAGACCGTTGGTGGTATTCGGGGACGGGATGGGGTCATATTGCCGGTTCAAATCGCAATATTGTGTGTAAGAGCCATTGCAAAAATCGGGCCAGCTGAATTTGGGTCAATGATTGCAGGTGTGATGATGAGGGAAGACATACAGGCCGTGAAGGGTGAAGGTGTCCTTGGGGAGCAACTGGCCGGATCCTCCTGAGTTGGTGTTCTACCGTAATTAGCAATTGGCTCACATGTACATGGCCATCAGATCCAAGGTCACTGCACCCAGCACTTACCCAGAATTGTGTAGAGAGTACAAGACCACCAAAGGTTTCAACGCAGCAGGAGTCAACTTTTGACGGATCCGAAGAAGGGCATGACAACAGGGGCTGTTGAAGCTGACAAGTGTGGTTAAGGTTGCTCTGGCCAGGATACAGCTGCGCAGAAGTGCTGCGGGCCAGTAGAGCCACGGCGCCCACTATGGGAAAAGAGGCATGCATTGTTTGATCGACAATTTTTGACAAGGGAAAAGTGTGGTATCTGACGACTACCCTGGGACGTGGAAGCCTCTGACCTATAAATGTTGACTACCTTTTCTACATCTTGTCCAGCCAGGCCGAAGGTCTTTGCTAGTTTAGGCAGGTGAGCAGCCCAGATCCTGGCGCGCGGCGATGCGCGAGGCAGTACCTGCAGTAAGCTAGAGTCGACGGGTGTAGGCATGTTGTCACGTGTGTTTGCCATTGGTTGATAATATTTGCAGGGAGCAAGACTACGCAGGCGGCGTCTTTGATTACACGGATACCCCGAGGGCATGATGAAGGCACGGGAGGTGAGTGGCCGTTTGTGGGCAAGCTTCAGCCACGCTGCGAACCTGCTGCCAGGCTGCATGTTGTTTGAAAAGAAGCGCTCGTTCCTTCGACACACGGGCAGGTTGAGTGGTGTTCTGGTCAGCCATTGTCTGCAAACGGAGCGCCGGCCAGACTTGTTCGCCGCTCTCCATTACCAAGGGCCCCGCTATCTCCGGCCTCCTCTCCACAACACCACCACACGCGACAGACACGATCATAAAGGATGGCATCAGGCATTCTGGTCCGCCAGCCTTTTTTAGGCGTTTTACCTCACGCACAATGTCAACGACAACTTCCGTGAACCCATTGCCACTGCGCCAGCCTGCTGGCTACACAACAGCTCACCACAATGGTGGCTCAGGCTTCAAGAACCCGTGGCCTTCATACCAGGCGTCTTCTGTGTCAACACTGCTCAAAGCACGTTGGAGCACACCCAAGAACTTTGTGCCAGTTCCTGCAGACCGTCTTGGCTTGGTAGAGGTTCGAACTCCCGACTTCGCTGCACAAGCGGACGGTCTGAAGGCGACGTGGTTTGGACATGCTAGCTTTTTGGTTGAAACAAGCAGGCAGAAGGGGCCGAGTCGGGGAATGAGGATACTGTTGGATCCCGTGTGGAGCAGCAGAGTTGGCCCATACGGCATGGTTGGGCCAGTCCGCTTCACGCCGCCGCCCTGCACACTCGACGAGCTGCCCGAAGTTGACGCCGTCTGTATCAGCCACGACCACTACGATCATCTCGATTCCGACACGCTTGGCAAACTGAATGCAAGGAACAAGCTGTTGCGCTACTTCTGCGCATTGGGCGTGAAGGCGGTGCTCACTGGCTTAAGAATCGGCATCAGAGACGAGCAGGTGACGGAGATGGATTGGTGGGATGGCATAACTCTAAAAGACGAGCATGTGGGGAGCGTAGAGCTGATCTGCACGCCCGCGCAGCATCGCTCTGGTCGCGCGCCATGGAATTTCGACGGTACACTGTGGTGTAGCTGGGCGATCAAGGAGCCTGGCGAATGCGGAAAAAGGCTGTTCTTCGCAGGCGACACGGGATATTGTCACGTCAACTCTGATGCACAATTCTCGCATCACGACGCACCCCACCCACCGTGCCCCGCATTCAAAGAGGTTGGCGAGCTGCATGGGCCGTTTGATCTCGCACTGTTGCCTGCAGGCTGCTTCAAGCCGCGCTCCATCTTATCCGGGCAGCACTCCAGCCCGGAAGATTCTTTGGCAATACACAGGGACGTGAGGAGTAAGAAGAGCATCGCCATGCACTATGGGACGTTCCGAGGGGCCTACAGCGCACAGTATGAGCCCGTCACCGAGCCCGTGGAGCGCTGGAGAAATGGTGCCGAGGCTGAAGGACTAACGTGGGACGACGAAGTAGGGCTTTGCGACATTGGAGAGACTGTAGTGGTGTAGTTATGATGACTACTGTCTCCTCTTTATTCTGCAGTTGTTTTGATCTTTAGACTATTGTAGCACACGTGTAGCTCGAATGCATCGCGAGGGCTGACATGTGATGGAGAAATGGACAAGTAAGCTTTCTGCACCAAACCGTTAGCGCAATGTCAGAGCTTGAGCTGTGAACAATTTCTAGACTGGTCGCAGCTCCCCCACGCAACACGTCGAGGCACGCACAACCACCACGACGCACCCTGCAGCCATGACAAAACGAAAGCGCGCAGACGGCGCAGAAGAGCCCGTCGATGCTGGCCTGGAGGACGCACCACTGGCGCCGCCTCTGCGCGACGAGGGAGCCGCCAAAGATGCGACGGCTGCTGCGAACGACGAGGAGGGCTGGACGGTAGTCGGCCCCAAGAGGAGAAAGAAGGAGGGCAGCTCCAACCACAACCACAACCACAACCACGAAAGCAGCCGTAGCGATGCACACCGACCCGGCGCCGGCGACAAGGCGTCCAAGAGCAGAGAAGAGAGGCGCAAGGAACGCAAGCTCGACCGGCACTATCCCGCGATTGAGCACTCCCACCATGCCCGCCTCCAGTCGCACGTCAAGATGGCAGATCTCCAGTCGCTCGCGCTCTACCTGCTGGCCGACGGCAACGCACCGCAGTGGGTCTCGGTGCGCAGCCGCCAGAGCATCCAGAAGGTCGTCATGCTGATGGTCCCCGGCCTGGAGCTGGGCATGTTCAACGGCAATGTCACACTTGACGCTGACACTGACGCCGACGCCGCCTCATCATCCGAAGCGCCCAGTTCTGGAGAGCCAGCGGACGCCATATCTGCCACCACCACCACCACCACCACCGCCGCCGCTGAAGGTGGTGCTGAGTCCAAGCGGGTGCGCATCTCGCCCGACGACTTCTATCCAGCGACCCTCACCCCGAGTCGCTTGCCCGCCGCCATGCTGCCTCTTGCCGACATGTTTGACCATGTGTGGCCCATCAAGGCACCCGGGGAGCATCGTTCCGGCCAGTACATCAGACTGCATTCGCCCATCCACACCATGCTCACCTCGCAGATTCCGAAGACGCACGATGAGAAGCAGATGAAGAAAAAGGGAAACCATAAAGGCCCCACTCCGCAGAACTCCAAACACTGGGACAACAAGCGCACGCGTGTCACCGAGTACATTGCGACTCTTGCTGAGCAGCAAGAGAACGAATACGTACCGCATCCGGCCATGTTCACTACGCCTGAATCGAGAGAGGCGGCCATACAGAGGAGGAATGAGGCCAAGCAGAGTGCCGATGATGGCTGGATCGACACCTTCGTTGACAGTCTTGAAGACGGACAGGTCCCAGAGGCTGAAATCGAGCAGGGCAGCGTGACAGCGGGCAGGAACGTCATCTCGGTCGATTGTGAAATGTGCAAGGCCGAGAACGATCAACACGTACTTACACGGGTAAGTCTGCTTGGATGGGACGGTGAGGTGGTCATGGATCGGCTGGTTAAACCTGATGTCGCCATCAAGGACTACCTGACGCAGTACTCGGGCATCACAGCCGCCATGCTTGAGCATGTCACGACCACACTGTCGGACATCCAAAAGGAGTTATTGAGGCTCGTCACACCGCGCACGATTCTCGTGGGACACTCGCTAAACTCCGACCTGAACGCTCTCAAGCTGACCCATCCGTTCTTGGTTGACACTGGCATCCTCTTCCCACATCCTCGTGGACCGCCCTATAAACAGTCCCTGAAATGGCTGGCGCAGAAGTACCTTCATCGCGAGGTTCAGAAAGGGAGCAGAGGCCACGATAGCGTCGAGGATGCTCGTACCGCCCTTGACCTTGTCAAACAGAAATGCGAGAAAGGTCCCTCATGGGGGACAGGTGACACGAATGCCGAATCTATATTCAAACGAATAGGGCGCACATTAAGACCCAAGACCAATAGGGAGTATCGCGCTGGCGCCGTCATCGATTGGGGCGAGCCTAATCGAGGACATGGCAACCAAGCCAGTGTGTCTATCGGCTGCAAGTCTGACGACGAGGTCGTAGATGCCATTGACACTGTATTGAAAGGTCTTGCAGTCGGCAAGGATGGTACTACTGTCAAAGTCGACTTCGTCTGGGCCCGATTGCGCGAACTTGAGCTTGCCCGCGGCTGGTGGGACGATGCAAAGACCGCCGACGTCGAAACCATGCGCCAAACCGCGATGCAGCGCATTGGGTTGTCAAGAGAGGATACAGATGTTGACGCGGAGCTGAAAGGTCCCGAGCTCGGTGATGCCGTTTCTAGGACCGTCAAACAGATTGCACGGGTGTACGAATCATTGCCTCGCTGTACAGCCCTTATAGTATATAGTGGCACAGGCGATCCTCGAGAGATCCGTCGCTTACAAGCCATGCAGCAGCAGTATCGGCGCGAGTACCAAACGAAGAATTGGGACAATTTGAGCGTCAAGTGGACCGACACGGAGATTCAAGCGCTGAGTAAAGCTTGCCAGGCAGCGAGGAATGGTGTTGGGTTTATTACGGTGAGATGAGAGTTCAGAAAATTATTTGTGTAAGGCTGTGCAACTGGTGGAGGTCGGACATTGTGCTAAGCGTGCCGACGTTGCACTGATGGACAAATCCGGCTATTTCGGCCGGAGCATGATTCCAATGCACGGCTACTGTCTGAAAGGCTTAAGCGCATGGTCGCAGGGAACTAGGAGTAGAGGCTGAAAACTCGACAGGCACTCGTCATGCGAAGCGCGTCGGCTCGTCGCACCATGAGCTTTCAGCAGAGTACAATCCCAATGGCACGGCGGAAGTAGAAATGGCTCATGTGCGAGCCCTCATTGCGACAATCCCTTGCAGACCAACCCATGTCGCACCTCACTGCGCCGCTTCGGTAGGACAGCAAATGCAATGAGTCAATGTGCATATCTGAGACATGCAGCGTTAATGCTCGTCGATCATTAATCAGTATTACGAATATGATCGGCCCGCTTTAGCGCTCACTAGTTTTGCGGTCATGTATATGATTCAACCATGCTGCGTAGTAGTCCAACTCTATATGTTATAGCCCGGCGACGACATGGCTCTGCCTGTTTGTCGCTGAACGATGACAAGGTGCATGTCTATTCTAGAACGATCTTATCATCATGTGTGCTAGCGCGTTGCACTTGCGACAAAACGGGCCTGGGGCATCACTTAGGCGCTGAGTCTGAGTGCTAATTAAGGTTCTGCTAATTAAAAAAAGTCATTTATTGCGCGTGAGCGATCCTATCTTATTACTTTCTTCCTTCGCCGCTTAACTGAAACTATGCCTTGGCACACCTTTACTGCCGAAATCTAGTGATTCCAAGACGCGGTTTCATTTGTCTCTACCGCGCATTGTCAGTGACAACCTTCTGGACAAGCGCCTTCGTACTGCAGAATAGCCTGAAACGAACGTGGAAGGCGCACATTCACCTCGCGCAGCGCCACTTTTCAGTCGATGAGTTCTGACAACCTCACTTCAACTGACGACGCTCCAGCAACCGTTGAGAAGGGTTTCGTGCACTAGTGCTAGGCCATACGCGCTACCAAAACCTCACGCACATGGCGGGCACGAGACGGCAATCCCGTGCTGGTGACACAGCCGATACTAATCGACAACAGCACCTCGCTTCTCATGCGACATCACTTGTCAACGAGACCGTGGCAGTTGCTCAAGTACCAGGAGCAACAATGCGGGTGGTCGAAAGCGCCGAGAGAGAGGCTTCCTCGCGTCCTGGCACGCCTATTAACCGATCGACAAAGGGCTTTTGCAAAAATTGTGGAACTAATATCGGCGAGTACTACAACTCATGGCACAAGGTCACAAAGTCCTACTACGCGCCAGCGTTGCTTTCGTCATACCGAAGTCTCCTGAAAAGGAGCGGTAGGCAGAAAGCGGCCTCGAGAGGCACAGCAATTGAAGGCTGGTAAGCACAATTTCGATCCCTCGCATAAGATTGTTTTTCTCTCCGCGTCTCCGCGTTCGTCACACAGCCCATTCGTCCAGCCGTATGATCCCAGTCAAGCAAAAACTCAATAATACACTAGTACTACTGGGATCAGCTTAAACTTTTTTATTTAGGCGCGCCGATATTCCTCACTATATGGACCATGGTCATCATTTATCAAAACCTTGACATCCGCCATGCCGCTGACAGTTTGGCCATAGTACCATTCAACCCTTGGCGTGCCCTTTATCCATCGCCTCATCAGAATCCAGTGCTATCTGCACAGAATCACCCATTGGCTTTACTGTCATTGATGCTCCTGCGGGTAAAAAGAACCTCCGGTCAGTACTCACATGTTCCTTGTGCGTTGCTTGCTACATCGGTCTTTCGCCAGACAAGCTTGCAGCACGTCCCTGTCGCAGCTCACGCCTTCATGCGTAGTTTTCGGGAACTGGGATGCTGCATGCTTATCGCATACTGCTCGTGATTAATGCGCTTACATGCCTAATATGGCCTTCCCCACTACCACTCACTTCTTCCGCTAATCTCTTTTCCGTTCTTATGCAGAAATCGGGATTTTTTCAAATTAGGACGCATCGAATTGCGATGCGAAGCGTCGCCGCACAAGAGCGTTATTGTGGAGCCGCAAGAAGACATCGCACCCGACCTATTCATCGCGGATGATTCGAATAGCCCTTCGCCTGCTCCCGACTCAGCTTCAACTGCAGATGCCATGGACATCGATTCGAGGCCATCATCTACGCAACACGCGGGACCTCACCATTTGCATTCAGGACAACGACATGAACGCCACCATCAACCATTCCAACAACCACTACAGCAAATTGAAGCCAGCAGGCAATCGTTACCTCCGCCTTCAGCAATGCGTTCTCCTACCACGCTTGCGCCATTACACACAGTTCCATCAAAGTTGCTGAACAACCCTTTGCCATCAGTCTCGCCTGCAGTGAGGCCTCACGAAGTATCCTACATTGCTCACGCATCCCCAAGAGAATCAAGTATTGCTTCGACGGGCCGAAGAGACTACAGCAATGGAAGCACATATCCTCGCTCACTAGGAGAAGTATCATTAGACGCCATCGAGCGTTTACAGACACAGATCTCTCAGAATAGTGGAGCGCTTGCAGCACACACACGGGATATCAGAAGAGGTGAAGAGTCCTTTCAGGCGCTTGAAGCGACTCTTCGCCAAGAATTCGCCGCACAAGTGCAACATCAGGCTGCGGACATTCAGCGTGTGGACGAGGCCGTTGCTAGATTACATTTAGAGATGCAAGGCATGCGTCAGGCGCTGGAAAATGTTAGTCACGAAATCGCGATCAATCGAGGAGCTGATACATCAGCCGGTCAGACTTCACGTGTTCCAAACGCCGCTCTCGAATTGATGGCTCAGCAGGTTGCTGTAATGTCACACAAGACGAGCGAACTTGACAATCTTAGAGTCACCGTTGAGATTATGAAGGAGAAGATCTATTCGCTAGAGCAGGGAGCACAACCCACCAAAGCAGCACCCGCCTTACAAGGAACACCGCACGTCTTCCAGCCGTCACATGGCCCAGCTTCGTCGCAAACTCGCAACGCAACCCCTGCCCGTGCTACACCTGCAGTAGTTCCTAGAGCTAGATCACCGGTACAGACGCCTACAAACCCCCCAACATACCAATCATTCGACACGGTCTCATCGTCGACTCTGCTAGGAGTCATCGAGAGGGACGAGTGTGTGCCAGGCCGGAGCGCTGGATGGGCAAGCATCAATGCGGGGACCAAACGCACGCATATGGCTGGCGTGGAAACGGCACGTGAAGCTACTGCGCATGTGCCAGGATCTCCTAAGCGCCAGAAAATGGCTGCCACTGATCCTCAAGCCAGTTCCGCCCCTTCTGAGACTTTCACGACAAGACATTCCTATGCGAGCAGAAATTCCGATGTATCAAATCCGAGACTTGCAGTGCCTCCGCCTACCCTTCCTTCTCAGCACTCGATACCAGAATCCAGTCTAGCATCCCAAACTCAACATTCCACATATGTACCTTTTACCACACAGGACGGACCTTCGGATGACAGTTGGCGGCCGGAATCTCAACGCATCATCGAGCATCGCCCGCGCGGTAGAGGTCGAGGTGGGGGTCCTGGTAGCCGTGGAGGGCGTGTTAGGAAGAGCATGCCTGCACAAGTCCACCAGCTTGGATCACCTGAGTGGGAGCGAGACGATTGGCAGGGTATTTCAGAGTCGCAAGCTGGCCCAGAAGGCTACTACAACCATGTCGCACGTTCTGGTCGCGGTATAGCTCGCCGTGGTAGTGGGGGCGGTGGGCGAGGAGGCTACGCCCAGAGCGAGCGCGCTGCAAGTTTAGGTTCGCAGGGCATGTCGTCGCCTGGATTCAACATGGGATCTCCCAACGACCCATATGCCCACACGAAGAAGACCAGGACAAAGCCTATTCGTAACGCAGATGGCGTTCTAATCAGGAAAGATGGACGCCCGGATATGCGTTCGCAATCTTCAGCTGCCAATCTTCGAAAGGTACACGCACGCAAAGAGGGCGAGCTTTCTACACAAGGGTCACCCACCGGTTTCACTCGGGATGCATCTCCAAGTGTGCAGCTGAAGCATAGTGCTATCATGGGCAAGATGTTTCCCACTGGTCTCGACGAGTCACGCCGACAAAATGATTATGCTCATCAAGTGTTCGAGGAAGATCGCGACCACACAGCTCATCCTCGGAATCGGAATCACCAGAGTACACAGAATAAGTCTGCAATCAGGATCAAGAAAGAAGACTTCGAGCAACGTAGGGGCTCGAACACTGGAGGTGCACACGATGGGAATGTGGATATGGATAAGGACCAGGATGAAGAAGGGGACCATGAGCAGGGGCCTAGTCGGCACAGTGAGCATGCTCATGATGCACACCCAGAAGATCGAGCGGTCGAGGATAGAGCAGAGCCCATGGTGCCGGAAACGCAAGTTGCGGAGATGGAGAGCGAAGCGACGCTTCCTGCTTCAGCAAGTACGCTGCAGTAAAGGTCATGTATTTCTAGTCAATTTCTTGCCATATTTATAGCGTTATAATACATACTCAAAGACAGTCTTAAGCACCCATCACGCGCAATTCAGTCCTTCCTGTTCAACTTCGTAGCTGTACTTGCACTTTGCAATGTACCAAAAGACTACTAAGTCTGTTCAAGCTCTTAGAATAGGTGACAACTGGCTGCTGCTCTCTAATAGTAGGATGACTCCAAACAGATTGAACAGAGAGTCTGATGAATCATTGCAGCACCTAGGATACATCATGTCTGCCATTTAGCTGCCCATCCATGGAGTTTGTTGAATCGGCCTGGTCAATCAACATTTCGGATTGCGGGACAGCCTATAAGTAAGGTCTGGTACAATAATTGTGTCAAGGCTTTACATACAATCAGTTCCCGGAAGCCCATAGATTTCCATCGTTGCCTCTGACACGCGCAGCACACAATATGCGTGTGGTGATAGCTAGTATTCATTGTAGAACGTATGTACTTCGCAGCCTCCAGAGCACAATGCCCTTAGTAGCGGAATTCATTCATTGCCCAGTGCGCATATTGTGGCAGGCCGAGGTTACGTACTAACTTATAGGTTGTCACTTACGTCGGAAAAGAGCGGGGTGCGACAGTAAGCAGCCTGTGCTATAATCTAAAGTTGTACACAGGGCCTTGCCGTTGTAATCAAAACCCAGCGATACTGTGTAGAGCTTCGGCATATTAAAAGCCCCTGTTCACTCTCCTTCGTAGTTAATGACTGGAGCTAGGTCTGATCCTGGACGCGCAGGCAATTAATCGAGCCTTTTTGAATTAAAACCCAACCAGGACGCTAAAAATTGCACAGGGTCAATACCCACCTAGCGGTAGTTTTTCGATCCTATTAGCAAAAAGCCTCAATACGCGCGCGACGCAGTAAGATGCGACAATTCGGGAACGTGAGGATGCACGGATGACGTGGGGCACTTTTGGCCATGCAGCATTAATTTACTCCGCCTCGACGCAGAGCCGTGCCCGCATGAAGAGTCGGAGGATCGCCGACAGCTCGGTTCCATTTCCCGCTTCTACAACTCGCAGACATCTGGAGCTGTACGAATGAACGAGAGGATCGTCCGTGCGAGATTCTGAACCTGTGTGACCCCTCGTAATTTTCTAGGTTGTTTGCGAGAAGGGTGTTTGCCCAAAGCTAGCACTGTGTGCACGCCGCTCTGACATCAGTTCAGATGGCCAACGACCGCAATGTGTTCAAATTGCGCACAGCTAGCAATTCCTCTCAGTTGAAATCTGTAGCGGCAAGCGCAGTAAATTCAGCCACGAGTCCTACGCCACAGCCGGACGCCAATGCCATTGGATCATGGCTATGCGATGAAGGTATTTACCTAACAATTCATACCCTGCGATTCGGTCGCTCAAGTACAACATAGGGCCATATCGAGATTATATCGAAGCGCTCAGCGGCTCCAATCCAGGCTTGAAGAGGGCAGATCCAAATAACAAGGAGGGCCCGCTCAAAAGAGGAAACGCGGGTGTTGTACTGCTTGATAGTCCTGCGACAGGGCAGCCTGACTATGCGGACCCTGTTCACTTCGCCAATTCCACCAAGCTTCGCGAACATCTTGAAAGCTCGCCTCGCGATGGACGCCGGCGTATCTACATCGTGGAGGGCTTGGCGCCAGACTATACAGCAACAATTGGTGGGCATTTCTTTATGGATCCAACTTTCTTCCAGCGCCAGGAGAGGACTTGCGTATGGAGTAACGATTTCACGCCCGTGAGCGACGCTCTTCCACAGCCGAGTCTGCTAAACCCAGATAAGAGCTTCCATCTACAGTACTGCGAGCTTCGCCAGTTCAATAAAGCGCTTGAGAACCGTTATTACTTTTGCCAAAGGACAAGACGGCATGTGGGGATGACGGCGCCAAGATACAAGTGAGTCACTGCGTAGTGTAGATCATTTTATGAGACATGACTGACTTGGTACCTCGTGATTTGATAGGGAGGAAAGTACAGTGGGAATTCTGAGGAGGAAGATCAGCTGGTGGTGTAGGGAGACTGCAAACGGGGGTTGGGATGGTAAAGTTGAATAATCTTCTTTCTAGTTTATGCTAATTATACTGAAGCTGTCATTCTTTGCGACCCTCAGCTAACAGACCTCTCCCCTGATCCTAAGGAAATTATCGAAGGCGAGCTTAGAGCCATAGCGAATGTTGGAATCAACTTGAAGAATAAGCCTTTCCAAGACGGGTATCAGGATTTCCTGCCGCCGAGAATCTTCGACTCTCAACCATCTCCAGATGATCTGCTAGCTTTGTCGAAGAGCCCTAACCCTCACGCTTCCATGCTCAAGGACCTCGTTTATTTCTACACACACCATGCTGGGTTACTCACACCAGAAGAATGGACAAGTCCACAAAAGTCTGTAGTCTTCCTGAAGAAGATTGTAGCAGCACACTATCTGCAGTTGGTGGATTATATAAAAGTCATGCTGCCGTCGCTTGAACTGCGCCTGACAACCGCGTGGGTCGAAGAGCAAGACCAGTGGAAAAGCCTACAGACTATTTCTCGCCGCTGTGGAAATTATCGTGACGATATTGAAGACACTCTGCTGAACTTGGGCTATCCGCTCGATGGAAAGCTCGACGAGTCATCGAAGCTGCGTTCGACTGATTGGAAGGACTGTGAGAAGGATCTGCAATACGCCTACTTCCGTCTAAAGATTCTCAAAGAGCGGGCAGACAACCTCACGACCTCTATGACTGGCCTGGCTTCTATTGCTGGTAATCGTCAGAACTTGGAGGAGGCAAAGCGTGTGAAGCGGCTCAACCTGCTTGCACTGCTGTTCATTCCGCTGGCCTACACCAGCTCTTTGTTCAGCATGCAAGACAGCTACGCGCCCAATCAGCAAAATTTTTGGATATATTGGGTATCAGCAATCGGTGCGGTGGCTTTCACTTCATTTGTTACATTCATTCTCGATCGCGCACTGGACGATGAGGCGAATTGGACGTTGGCGCCAGTGAAATATTTGAAATTCTGGAACTTGAAGCTATGGAGGATTGCTGGTAGACACCCAGGGCCTGTGAAAAGAAAGGCTACAGGACTTTATGATCACGTCAGACGATAGACAATCAAATCAAAAATTTCTTGAAGCCTCGTTACCGAAGATTGAACGAGTTCATTTGTCTTATTGTCCCTCGCGCATACCATTCATCATCCATCGACTGACTCGATCATACATAGTCCGGACCTAGTACAGCCTCTTCAAATGTGATGATGGAGAAGCCTCACAATGCAAGCCATCTTATTGAACCCTACATGACATTTCGGAAAACAGCCAAGGGGTGAGACAAGATGCTACCACAGCTAGGCCCATTTACTATGCCAGCATGTCAAACGCACGACACAAACGAGTCTGCCTCAGATCTGGGTTCGCCGGCTGAATATGGTTCTTCTCGAATCTACTAAGTATATCGTCTTGATGGACTAGAGTGCAGGTATAAGTGGCCCGAGAGCTAGCGGATTCTAATTAGCCTTATTCCAGATTAATTGCACACTTCGAAGAAGTCGTTATGAAAGCTTACTTCCATAATACGACATGGGCTGCCGATACATTCACTTGAATACTGGCAGCATTTACAATGCAACTGCATGTCTTTCTACCTCTTGCTGTTCTCGCGTCTGCAGTGACCCTTCCATCATTGTCTGGGCAGCCCCTCATCTCCAGGCCTGATCCCTCAGTCCATTTGGCCCATGTACCACTACCACCAGCATTACACAGGCCAGCAATTCCGCTAATTTCGCGGCCTGTGCCGCCCAGAAATGTTACCAATATCAGATGCCCCATTATCTTCGATGGTCGCGTACCCAAAAACCTTACTCTCACGTCCTTTGACTCCGCCTCCACATCGCCTTACAGTCCCTCTTTCGTGAAAGGCGAAAACACCACATGGGCCTCGATTCTGCTGCTCCCTCGCATAGCGTCGTCTCGATTCGATGAGATTGCACTCCACAAACCGCTTGAGGTTACCATCGATAAGCGCTCCATATTTCGCGCAGGCGAGAAATTACAACTGGGCTTTCGTCGGGCAGGCCTACTCCTCAAAGACGATACCAATGACCCCGGTACCGACGCTGCGGACGCAGGTGTCGTGACGTTCCATTGGAGTGTCAAGCAAGATGCGGCCAGACCTCTGAACTTGACGCACGAATACATGAATGTGTGGCACGAGCAAGCAGACTACAAACAAAATCAGTTCACATTTGTTGGCGGGATAGTGCTACCAGGTGACGGTGGATTAGATCAAAGGGGAGACAAATGGAGGGTACAGAACGCGAAAAGTGAATTCGTGTTTGAAGTGTCGATTGAGTACAATAAATGGCAGAACTTTGGAGTTCAGTTGGACTATGTTAACAAGTGAGTCGCGCGATTGCCATGCGATTGAAGCTAATGAGAAATAGTACGATCAAAGTATTTTACTCTGTGGGGATGTCGCCATTGAAGGTAGTCACTCATGCATTGCCAAACGAAAACGGAGGCGGAGGACAACTACAGATTGGCATCGCCAAAAAACCGACAGAGACGCAGACGGTGGTATTTGATGGGTACCAGGAATTCATACCACTGCGGGGCGAAGGACAAATATATGGCGGTATTTTTGTCGAAAAGAGCGACGGAGGATGTACAAGCCTCTGACTGTTGACTGAACTGGAGTTGTGAGGTTGTGCAAAAGTGATATCACATGATCAAGAGAATTGAGGGTAGATGTAAAGAACAAAGCTCGAACTGGTTGCCTCAATGGACCATGCTCTTGCCTATCTCAGACTCCCAATTATTGGCTCGTTCAAACCCGTTCGAGTGCGTTTGATAGTCCATCATAGCCTGCATCACTTCATCGCGGCTAGTGACGACGAATGGTCCGTACTGAACGATGGGCTGGTCGAGCGGCAATCCTGCAACCAGGATGAACCGTGACTCTTGGTCGGCGGCCTCTTCCACTGAGGCCTCAATACTGTCTCCATCCTTTTCAAACACGACATTGTGGTACTGCTCAATTGGGCGCGACTCGCTGCCGGTCGAGAAGATGGTGGTGCCATTGAGGAGATATGCAAATGCATTCCATCCTTTGGGAAGCGACTGTTTGACCTTGCCGCCGGGCTGAACGGTGAAGTCGAGCAGCCAGACCGGGGTGTATGCCAGCTCCTTCAAGCTCTCGGTGCCATATGCTTTACCGCTGATGATCTTGACATGGACCTTGCCGTCGTCTGATTTTGCTTCTGGAATCTCTTTGGATCTCAAGTCGCGGTATCGGGGTTCGCACGATTTGAGTTCCTTGGGCAAGTCAACCCACAGCTGCATGCCCACGTTGGCTGAGCCGTCTTCGTTTTGCCTGGGCATTTCTGCGTGGACTATGCCGCGGCCTGCCGTCATAAATTGCAGGTCACCTGCTTCGATTGTGCCTTTGTTGCCGGCAAAGTCCTCATGGTCCACGGCACCTGAGAGAAGGTACGTAATGGTTTCTTGGCCGCGGTGTGGATCTGGGTTGTGTTAGCACGACGCGGGGCGGAAGGAAATCGAAGTACTAGTACTTACGGTCTGGGAAGCCAGCACCCGGGGGAATGGCAAAGTGGTCGAGCATAAGGAATGGACTGAAATTGCGCAGCTTGGGCGTCCCTACACTCCTCCTCACGCGAGCGCCGGCGCCCTCGGACTGCTCGACAGCAAGAAATGACTTTGCGATCTTTCGTGGCGCTTCCGTCGTAAGAGGCTCGTCAGGGATAACAGGCAACCCCTGGAACATGGTGGACGCCTTGGACATGCCGCGTGTGCTGTTGAAGACGGTGCTCGTGATAGGCGTGATGTGCTTGGACAGACTCGTGATTCTGCCAAGCATGTGCTCGTTGTAGTAGATTCCGATGGCAAGTGCGACGATGGCAACAAAAATGGATGGCAGTGTCTTCATGAATAACGTGGCGCAGCTTTATACTCTTCGCTGCCCAGGACACGAGAATGTTCTACAAAGTCTTGAGATGGGGTTACGAAGACAGACATGGCGACGCCTAGTGGGTTGCTAAGTGGTTGCGGATGGGCTGCCTCTGCTTTGTCGAGAATGACCAAGCAGCACTGCCGCACAAGCCCCGAAAAGCCCCCACATGGAACTGCCATGACGCTCATCCTAATCAGTCCATTGCACGTTCCCCACGCAACGAGACAGCGGCTTCCATTCCGCCTTAACAAAGTGCTCTGCAATTGTCATGTTTTGCGGCTTCAATAATAGCCGAGCATCACATCATTTAATGGCGCCTCGCATATCCATGCCCTGTTACAAAAACCTCATGTGAGCCGCACATTGCCACTTCGGACGGCTGAAGAACTTTCTTGGGCTGGTTGCGCGATATATTATAAAAAGGTTATCATGGCCCTCATACATACACTAGACGCCCAAGAACGGATTTGACGATACCGGTACGTTCCTACGCCACCACAACTCCTCCGCCCCCCATCCGAGGTGTACCTCCAGCCTTCGCCTTCGCTTCAGCATCCTTCTTGAATCGCTCTGCTCTTCCATAACTATCTGAATACCCGTTCTTGATCGCTTGTTCGACTGAAATTGGTGGCCATTTCGGCTCTTCGCCTTCTTTGACGCAATTTGGCAGACACTTGACGACAAAGTCCGGGTTTCCGCTGAAGAAAATTGGAATCGAGTATCGTTCTGCGCCAGACACATTGATGACGCGATGTAGGTTTGAGATGTATCTGTCGTTGGACCATCGCATCATGAGGTTGCCCAGATTAACGACAAAGGCCCCGGGGGTGGGGGTAACATCAAGCCATTCCTTGGTCGAGTGATCATAGACCTGTAGGCCAGCGACTTTGTCTTGCAGAAGTAGTGTAATACATCCAAAGTCTGTGTGTGCGCCAATACCTCGCGTGAGCTTCGCGGGGCTGTCTGGTGGTTGAGAAGGGTAGTGTAGTAATCTCATTGTCGCGACGGCGTCTTTGGCAAAGTCATCAAACCAGCATTCCTCTAGATCGAGTGTAAGAGCGAGGACTTTGAGAATGTCTTTGGCCAGGCTGACAACTTGGCTGTAATAGTCAAGAGCAGTGGCTTTGAAGTCTGCCACGTTAGGCAAGACAAGTTCTGATGGCCACATGTTCGGTCCGGAGTTCAGCTTCTTGTGAACAAAATACGGGTGCTCTTTTGAGATTTCGTCGCCGATGTAGAAGCCTTCCTTTAATTCCGGCAATGTTCCCTCTTCTAGAATTTGCGACTCCATCAATTCGTATCCTCGGTTCCATGTATTTGTGGTGTCTGTACATCAGTTAGACACGTTTCCTGCAGTATCTGAGGTTATGTCACCTTTATTCACTTCATTCTTCTGCTCCAACGAAAGATCGAAAAACTTCCTATTCCAGTCCATGATCTTGTTCTGAAGCTCGAGTGGCACATTGTGTCCAGTGATTTGGAAGAAGCCATTGTGTAAACAGCACTTTCGCACTTCTTCAACTAGTTCTTTTCTAGCTGACGCATCGCTTTGGTAGAACCCTGTCTTACATCAGTACTTTGAGTAGTGTTGGTGTTTGTGATGCACGTGCGCGAGAAGTCGAGAATTGGGGGAGCGTCTCCTGCGCCCGGCATAATGGATTCTTTGATTCTCCTTGAGAAAACGATAGCTACGTCTTTGATAGAGACAGGTCTTCGTGATAGTAGTGTGTTTCCTACCTAGAAAGTAATCAAGCGGAGGGGCCTCACCCGGTCGCGGTCCCAGGTTCTATTAATCTTCAAATTCTTTGCCTCGAAGCGTTCTTAGGCTCCTGTAATCGAAGCTACCCCTCACGCATAACGTATGTCGCTATCGATAGTGTAGTTCGGACGCATAGATGGCGGTAGTGGGGTGTCTTTCGCAAGATACCCCCACTCTTAACCTATACTCCCAAGGTCTCTCTACCGTAGCGCTCGAGTAGAGGTTGCTAATTGCAGAGCGACGAGGAATAAGAAATATTATTAGCTTTAAACTATGCAACTTAAATTAAGAGCTAGTATACTTACTTATCTTACTAACGTAAATAGTAACTAAGTTGCGTAAGTAACTAAACTGCGTATCTTTTTATGCTATATATCTTTGTACTATTATAACTTAATACTATACTAAGTAATAAAAGTATATAATAGCTTAAATTAATTAATTAATTTAGCTATATCTTTCTTATAGATATATTTATTATATCTTACTTTATTATATATCTTATAGCAATAAATACTCTTACTACTACTATCTACTTATATTATTTTTTTATATCTTTTTATCTTAACTAGCGCTTTAGTATCTTTATACTTAATAATTTTCTCTATTTTTTACTATAAAAGAGTTTCTTTATACTAAATTTACTTCTTTTTATATACTTTATACTTAAAAGTAGCCTTTATTTATTACTTAAAGCTTTAGCTATTTAAGCTACTAATAAGTACTTATAAATATACTATTATCTTAGCCTTCTTTTTAGAATAAATTATATTATTTTTAAGAATAGATTTTACTTATAAACTCTTATAATATCTTATTCTCTTTAAAAATTAGTATTAATTAAAGCTTAAATTTTAGTAGTATTACTTTAGTATTTTAGGCTACTAAGAGATAAGTTTTAAGTAAAGATAGTAATAATATATAAAGCTTTACTTTAAGCTTTAATAGTACTATCTCTAAGTTATCTAGAAGTAAGATTATTATCTAGAAGCTTAATAAGATATTATTCTTTATAAAAATATCTTATTAAATAATATATTTTCTATGCAAGCAGGTACTCTAAGTAAGTTAGTAGCTCTTCTCTACTAATATGCCTATATAGTAATAACACGTAATATCTTAATAATATAACGTCTAAAAGTTCTATAATAAAGAAGATATATTTCTTGCTATCTCTAATATAAAATTAAAGTAAATATAGAGTAAGAAACGCGCTATAGAGATCTATAACATCTCTTAGTTAGCTTTAGCTACTAATTTTATAAACTATATTTTATAACTATATTTTACAACTATATTTTATACTTAGTTAATCTTACTAATATAATATAGTAATAGCTCTCTCTACTCTTATTAAGTAACTTTTCTATATATAAGTCTTAGTATTAAATATTAAATACTAATACTCTAGAACTTTATAATCTAATAGCATAGGCTCTTGCTACTAATAAGCTATCTTACTTAGTATTTATAGTAGCAGATGCTTTATAAAAAAGCTACTATATTAAATACGTTACTTTTAGAATTATTATTATCTATTTAATACTTACTAGCTTCTATAGCTTCTTAATAAATACTACCTTATATATATACTACTTTATTCTTATCTTACTCTTAGCTGCTTAGTCTACTAGCATTACTACTTACTTATTTACTACTTTCTTATTAATATAAGAATTATTTCTAAAGATATAATAACTTAGCAGTATATACTTAAGCTAATATATCTTAATTATATCTATAGTTATAAGATATATAACTGCTTTACTACTTTACAGTATAATATAGCTAATATTATATTAATAAGAAGATAGTTAATAGTAAGAGACTTAAGTAATAACTTATAGAACTAATTCTATAATATTAATAGCATAGTAGCATAGTAATCTATCTACTAGCTACCTTTTAATATAGCTAGTAAGCTAATATACTTAAAGTAGCTTAAATAGATAAGAGCTATAGTATAATTACCTCTAAATATAAGCATTAATACTAATATAATATAATCTACTAAAGTTAAGATATTATTAAAAGTAGTAAAGAGCTTAAGATAAGTATATCTTAATAGTTTTCTTAGATTATAGAATATTAGAGAATAGTTATAATAATAGTAATATAATATAATAAGATAGAAGACTATAGAACTTAGATATTATTAAAACCTTTTAAAGTAGCTAATAATTAGATAGCTAGTATTAAAGAGCTTAAGTTAGTTTTCGCAGATAGAGTAAAGTAGCACTAGATATAAAGGTTAGATATACTAAGATAGTAAGAGTAAGCTTCTATAAAGAGTATAATATATTAAGTAACTTAAAGTACGAAGTTAAAGATACTAAACTATAAGAGTTCTAAGTCTTATCTATATACTATATACTTTAGTTAGATCTTATTATTCTAGTATATCTTAGTATACTAAGCCTTTCTAGTTCTACTAGTACTTGCTAGTATATTTACGTAATTTATTTCTTAGCATCTTAACTTAGCTTTGCTACTTAGTTACAGAACTTTAGCGTTTATAAGATAGAGCTTCTAGTTATTCGATCCTAGATTGTAATAGATATAGCTAATATAAAATCTATCTTTAACTTATGCATAACTATATATACTACTTTTTAATAGTTAAGCATATTATAAGAATTATACCTCTTAAGCCTAGCTTAGAGTAGAGTAGTTATTATTATACTTAAAGTAATTTTTAAGAAGTTTAGATATTAGTTAGTAGTGCCTGCACTAGCCTTACTTAGAACTATTAACTAATACTAGATTATATATTTTTATACTTTTTTAATACTTTTTTATGCTAATAGTAGAGAGTAATTACTATCTCTTTTTAGTCTAGCTTATTTTTTTAATAATACTTTTAGTTTATATTTTATATCTAGAATAAATAATATCTCTTAAATAACTATCTAAGCGTAATATGCTAAATAACGCGCCTAAAGTAATTATAAGCTAAACTTAAAGCATCTTATAAAGCTAAAAGAGAAAGTAGTTCTATATAATATACTTAATATATCTCTATATAGACTACTACTAATAAAGGCTCTTATATAAGATATAGCTAATAGACTGCTAAGAAAGTAAAGTAAGAAGCTTATTAGTAAGCACTAAGTTAATAACTTTATTAAGTAATTATCTAAGCTTAAGAAGCGCTAGAGCTATCTATATAATTGCTAGTAAGCTGCCTATAAAGACTTAGCACTTATCTAGCTCTAGTTTAAGCTTATTTAATTAATAAAAGCAAAGTATAGTATTCTTAATAAGAATACTTAGAACTTTAATAAGACTAGCTTTCTAATAAGTAAGATTATATCTTAGCTTATAGTAATAAGCTTAAATAAGCCTAGAAAAGCAAAGAAGCTATAGCTTAGTAATTATAAGTAGACTACTCTAGTATAAGCTATTAGTATAATAGAGAAGTATATTCTACTCTTTATTATCTTTGCTAGTAAGGTACTTATTTCTACTTAGTTTAAGCTAGATATACTATATAACTAGATTATTTAAGTAAGTCTAAATAGCTTAATAAATAATAAGCTAGCGCTTACTTAGCTTAAATTTTTTAATATGTATATAAAGCCTATAGAAGTATAGAGACTACTAATTATTAATAGCTATAAGAGCTACTACTTAGCTAATTTCTAAGAATACTATAAGAAGAATAAGATAATTACTCTTTATATGCTCTCTTACTTATTATATCTACTATAGTCTCTTAATATTACCTACTTCTTACTATTAAAGTGTAGCTATAGTAATAGTATCTTAGCCTTAGCATATAACTATATCTACTATATTAGTAAAGAAATCTTCTTACTAGCCTTTAAAGCTATCTATAAGCTAATATTTACTAAGCAGAACGCTTACTAGTACGCGCTAAGAGTTTATATTATATAACTTAAATTTAATTATTAGCTATAAGTACAAAGAAGCTTATATTTTTTAAGTTACTCTTATCTAATTAGACGCTAGCTCTGCTAACACAAACCTTTCCGTTCTACTATTTTATATATGCAGGCGGTTACAATGAGCTTTATAGGCATTTTGAACTTCAACAATAAATCAAAGGCTTAATTTGTCACTATCCAGGCTTTTTTTGATGTCGAGGTTTGCTGGCAGCCCTCAGCCGTCATGGTAGGAACAGATTTTCCTTGTCTTTCTCATGATCATCATAATACAGTCGACTGCACCTGATGCTCGGCGAGTATCGCGTCGAGCTGGTCATGCTGTCCATGCCCTGCCTGTTTGATAGCATCCAACAGCCGATGTTAACGGGAACGTGATCGTTCCACTGGACCCTTGTAACCTGCAATTTGTCTGGTCCATTATTCTCCGTCATTATCTGTTTGGGAACCAACACACCTGTATTACCAGCCTTTGCATGATAGCTAGTTAATGGGGTGTCAATACTCAACCACCTTGCAGACCAGGATTAAAATCCTCTCCACAAAGGATCGCCATTCTGAACTTGCGGTTATGCCCCTTTAGGTCCGAGAAATTCCAGAGGGACTCGATCAATTGCATCCATCCAGCGTCCGCTTTGTCTCGATTGACGAATGAAGGGAGAATCTTCTTGCAGCTACAAGGATTAGAATATTGCATGAACGTAGACGCACAGCCTGGGCGAGATGAACTGCTTCCGAATCCTTGTGTAGGGCTACTTTGGGCGAAAGTGGCGCAGCTGCAGCAAAATGATTTGTTGGAAGGTGCTCTCTTTCGCTTACCCTTACATATCCTATCTCAATAGGGAACCGAGCAGTTTGTACAGCCTCGAAATGAAAGAATCTAGATTGGAAAAGCACTGCACGCCGAAAATATGGTGTCGTCTGCTGGTGCCTGGAATGAACTGTCACTCTTCCGCAAATTCAATCTCAAGCAGCGCGTGATTGAGAAC